TAGAGAGAAAGGAAGGGATAGGGAGAGAGAGATAGAAACATCGATGAGAGAGAACATGGATTGGCTGCCTCCTGCATGCCCTATACTGGGGATTTGGCCCACAACCTGGGCATGTGCCCTGACTGGGATTTGAACCGGTGACCTCTTGGAGCATGGGTCGATGCGCAGCCACTGAGCCACACCAGCTGGGCTCACAGGGTTTTTTCTTATTTTCCTCCATCAAATATTTGTTTCTTCTTCCAGAGTGACAATCCTGGCTTTTAACATGAACACTTAGTCATTTGCTCAATCATAAAATAAATACATCTAAAATAGTTTCAGGATCATCTTGCCAAGACTAGTACAGAAACCGGCCTTCTAGAGAGAGTTCAGAATTTGTTGGCAGTGTTTTTAATCACTACCTCCTAGCAAGGCTGTTACTGGGAGAAAGATGGTGAGGGGGGCGGGGGCCTGGAGGCGATGGAGGTGGTGTGAAGTGGAGGGGGAGGGAGGGGGAGCACCAGTATCAGACCCAGAGGGTAAATTTCCGAGGCTGGAGGAGGTCGTGAGTGGTGGCCCTGGTCCAGGCTGACAGCCTGGGTGTAGGAGCAGAGAGGACAGATGGCTGGGATAGCTGGACGGATCCAAAGTTGGGGAACTACCAGGTGGATGTGGCAGAAGGACAGAGGGTGAGGACTTTGGGGTGCTGGCAAGAGAGTGGTTGACAGAATGCACCCTGGGGTCTGGGCTGAATGGGGGAGGAAATGAAGCCAAGAGCGAGAAAGGAGAGCGATGGAACTGGAGCTGGGCTGAGAAGGGGCTTATTGCAGTGATTTCTGGTCACGGAACCCAACAGTCTGGGAAGAGCCAGTGCAGGGGACTGGGACGAGAGATGGCCTTGTACCAAACTTGGCTGGAGGCAAGATGGGAGGGGCTGAGCTTGGAGCAGCAGAGTCTTTGTCTCCCCAAGGACCAGAGTCTGCGTGAGAGAAGCCCTGGCTGGCCTGGACCGAAGCGCCAGCACTTCGTTTCAGTGTATGATCAACCATGGGGAGAAGTACCCAAATAAATACAATCATAATAATAAAAAGAGAGGGACCTTAGAGATGATCTCACCTGGACAGTCACTTCGCTTTCGAGATCAGGATGTGAAGGTCCAGAGCCATTAAGCGACTGCGCCGACCATCACCACCCAGCCTCGGTGGGCTTGAACCCCGGGTGTTTCACACGCCAAGTTGGTGGCTCTCTCTAACCCACTATAACGTTCTGAAGCTAGAAAAACGTCTTGCTGATAGGTTTCTTCTGGTAGGCGCACCAGTCTTTGTTCTCCACTTGAGGTTTTTTTTTTGGTTGTTGTTGTTGGGGGGAACACCAATAACCCTATATTTTTATATTGGGGGGAGTAGAAAAAAAAGCAGCCCCTATACTGGGCCTTCGTCAGTGGCAGCTTCTTGTTCCATAGGGTTCAGGAAGACTTTGAGGAAATAAAAGTTTTTGGGGAAAATCCAGGGGTAGCTGCTTTGTATGTTGTGATGGGTCGAGGGGATGGAGTGAACTCGCAGGCCCCTCCAGCCCCCATCTCGCCCCACACTGTGTCCTGGACCCTGGGGCGGAGGGAGCGCCGCCTTCCCTCCTGGTCCGTGGGATTGCTGGGGGCCAGCTGTGACAGGGTGACAAGCAGGAAGAGCGGCATGCTGGCATGCTGGGGAAGATGGTGAGGGCCAGTGCGTGATTATCATGACCCCCGGGCTCGCTCCACCTGTTTTAAGCACAGAGGCAGGAGTGGAGTCTCATACATGGCTGATTCTCCAGTTCCCAAGTCGGGGATGCACTCTTTCTGCTGGGTGAATGTGTGGGACCAGCCGTATCTTAGGGTGGGAGTGTCGGCAGAAGTCGGAAACTTTCCAGTAGCACCCTTTCTTTCCGTATTCTCAGGGATCTTCCTCTCTCTGGACTCTTACTCGGCAGGCATTACTCTGGACGTGGGGCACATACTTCGTCACGAGAGCTTGTCCGTTAGCATCCTTATTAAAACAGTGCCTTTCTGACTTCACAAGGAGGCTTGCTTCTCGTCGACCACGTGACTCGGCTGCTCCGAGCCAAGGTGGAGCCCACTTGAAGGGGCAAATAACTCCAGAGCTGCTTTTCGTTATCAGGCAGCATCCAGGGGAGGGAAGGGGATGCAGATGCTGGACCTCAGCAAGCATGAACCGACACGAGCTCCTCCTCCACAGGAGTAGCCCACTAAGAAACGGACAGGAATGTCACTGGTGGAAGGTCGTTCAACTAAAGCTAGCCATGCCAGATAGTGCAGGGTAGCTTCGAAGCTACTGTGCAGGAGGAGCCAATTGTCTGTGCTCTGGAAACAGCTCTGCTGCTCTAGGTAACAACCAGGACTAACTAGTCTGAGAACAGCCTAGAAAACTAGAGGTTAGCAGTTCTCCTTCTGCAGAGCAGAGGCATTGGTGTGGCATTTTTGCCAATAGCTGGCATCGACTCTGGTGACAACATAACTTTCTTTTGTTGATATGTTTTTATTAATTTTTTAGAGAGAGCCCTGGCCAGTTTGGCTCAGCGGTTAGAGCTTCGGCCTGCGGTCCGGAGAGACCCGGGTTCGGTTCCCGCTAAGGGCACGTACTTCGGTTGCAGTTTGTCCCCGGCCCTGGTTGGTCGTGCGGGTGGCAGCCACTCGATGTGTCCCTTCACATCGATGTTTCTCTCTCTCTCTCCCTTCCTCTCTCTCCCTCCTACTCTATCTGTACAAAAAGAGGAAAAATATCCTCGGGTGAGGATAACAACAACAAAAAAATAGAGAGAGAGGAAGGGAGAGATAGAAACATCGATGTGAGCCCTGGCTGGTTTGGCTCAGTGGTTAGAGCGTTGGCCTGCGGTCTGGAGAGACCCGGGTTCGGTTCCCGCTAAGGGCACGTACCTCAGTTGCAGTTTGTCCCTGGCCCTGGTTGGGTTGTGTGGGTGGGTGGCAACCATTTGATGTGTCCCTTTCACGTCGATGTTTCTCTCTCTCTTCCTCTCTTTCCCTTCCACTCTAGCTGAACAAAATATTGAAAAAATGTCCTCGGTGAGGAGAAACATTGATGTGAGAGAGAAACATTGATCAGCTGCCTCTAGCACGTCCCCTACTGGGGATCGAGCCTGCAACCCAGGCATGTGCCCTGACTGGGAACTGAACCAGGACCTCTCAGTCCATGGGATGACGCTCAATCCACTGAGCCACTCCGGCCGGGTGTGACCACATAATTAAACCAGTGACTAATGGTAGTTGCATAGTGGCCACGTACCAGAGCTCCAAAATTCTTCCACTTTCTAAATAATAAAAAAAATCTAGAATTTTTGTTTTCAAAGAGCCTCTCTGTCTACACAGAGTCCTATATTTAATGTTCCATCAAAAACTTCTTAAGAGTTATACTTACTGCCACAGTCTTAACCTGTTTGACTCCTTTCTATCACTTCCAAGAGGTGCTGTCACTTCTCCAAAGACAGAGGGGGGGATGCTGTCAGCAGACGGGAAGGACCTCAGCTGGGACCACGTAGTACAAAAACTATGGCTTCTGAAGAAAACGTGTTCACCTGAAATGCATTTTGAGTCTCAAAAAACTACTTCTGTTAGTGACTTGTGTATTTAGCTTATAAAGGAAACAAAGTATTAAAGTTCATTCATCGTTTACCTTCATATCCTTAACCTGTTTTGAAAACTGTGGCTCTTGCCCTCTAACCTGACTAAAATAGCACTTTTCTACTTCCGCCCGATTCCATTCTCACAGTTCACTCTTCGTGATCAGGGTGCTCCGGGTGGTTTCTCCCGACGCATGAGATTTATCACGTCCACACAGAATTAATGACCTTGGTGCGTCATTTTAAAGTTCCTGGCCAGTCACCCTCCTACCAGATGAGAAATGACAAGCATGCTGGTGTGTAGATGCATGTTAATTCCCGTGGGGCACTTCTTCCGAAGAGAGCAGGAAAACCTCTCTCTTTTCTAAACAAAACAGATAGCTTCTCCTTTACAGGACCGACTGTGTGCTGGGCAGGGTCAAGAGAGAACTGTATAAACTTTCTCCAAAATAATTTTGAGCAAAAACAAGTATTTCTGAACAACACAAACAAGGTTTTCCCTCGGCAGTGTGTAACTGTTTAGGGACTTGTCCATTAGATACCCTTTAGGGATAAAAGTGGGGTTTTGACTGGGTACTTTCTAGATACTTAAGATACAGAACAGGTTTAGGGTGTAAGGTATGAAACAGGAGAAGGCCATTTGCAAACTCCTATGTAAAGACATGGGCAGTTATCTTTCCCCGTACAAAGACGCACACAGCCCTGGCCACTTGGGTCAGTGGTTAGAGCACTGGACCGTGGACTAATGAGTCATGGGTTCGATTCCAGTCAAGGGCACAAACCTTGGTTGCAGTTTGTCTCTGGTCCTGGTTGGGTTGTGCGGGAGGCAACCAGTCGATGTGTCTCTCTCACAGCGATGTTTCTCTCTCTCTCCCTCCCTCTCTCTCTCCCACTCTATTTGAAGATAAATAGAAAAATATCCTTGGGTGAGGATTACAAAAAAAAAGATGCATGCAGTCTGTGGGTGGGGGAGGCGGTCAGTGTATGGGAATTCTGTACTATCAGCTCAATTATCTGTAAATCTAAAACTGTTCTCCAAAAGAACTCTAGTAATTAAAATTTTAAAAAAGACACAGACACTGGGATTCTAATAAAATCTGCATTGCCATGTGGTTCTAATCAGTAATCACTCCGGTCTGGTGGTGGCTGAAAGAGTTTAAAAAATGTGATAATGGAGAATATACTAGGAAACCTTCAATCCAATGTGATGGGAAGAAGGTCCAGTCACACAGGAGGCCTGGCAGGCCCTGGGGCGACCCTTCTTGAACACGATGCCAGCACGCTGACATGACAGGCCGTAGACAGCTGACGGTGCTTGTGAGGAACAGAAAACAGCTGATCCCATAGACTATGCAGCTAACCAATCAATGGAAACAATGGTTAGACAGAACAAATTTTAATCAGTGGGTTTTAAAACTTACATAACCGTGTTGAACATAATATATGCAACATTAAATTCCGGGTAATATATGAATTACTTTCTGTACGTGGTAATACCTTGTCCTGAGCAAGCCTGAAATCCCAGTCTGAGATCGTGCACTGCTGGGGAGCTCCAACACGCATTTAATACAGTACACTCACAGAGTACATTTAAAACAGAGTCTGAGCTTTTACAATTGATTTGCACATAATTTTAGACAGAATATCTTATCTATTGGTTAAAATGAGGTATATCTGTGCTGTAGTTCCATGAGCACATACTTCAAATTCTGCTAAAGAAGGTTTTCTATACATCATAATAAAGTTTCATTTTATGAAAAATAATTAAATTCGTGAGGAATGCTCCTCGAAGGCATGCACACAGTGAGGTCCGTGCACTCGAATGCACAACACAGTACACACCACCGAGCCCAGCCACACAGCTCCCTCATCACTAATGTGCCTCCCCGAGCCCAGGCACCCTACGGGTATGTGTATATGTGCAAGGACGGGTACAATGTCATGGTGGTGCGCTCTCTCCTTGTGGCAAGAAATCTGTTCCTGGGCCAGTCTGGCTTCGCATCTGGAGTTGGCTTTTGGCTGGTGTTTGTGCTTCTCTTTGTAGGGCATGATACTGTAAATGCTGGCTTTTCTCTCTGTGCAAACAAGATACAAAAGTTGAGCTCACATTATGTTGCAATTTCTAAAGTTATAGTAAGGATTTGGGTTGGTTTTACAAGGAGTTAGTGAGAAGTGGCTGTTACAGGGCAGAGATGAGTCGAGCATTTGCCCGAGTCCCTCAGCGCGCCAGCGATCCATGGCAGTATTTTTTGTGTGTATGGTACGTGTCCCTAGTGGGAACTGAACCCGGGACTCTCTGGTCCGCAGGCCGATGCTCCAACCACTGAGCTAAACTGGCCAGGGCAATGGCAGTATTTTAACTGCTCTGAGAAGTTCAGGGACTTCAGCATTTTATAAGCTGTCTGGAAGTTACATGCTACCTCTCTATTAGAGAGATATTATACTGGGAAAATGAAGTAAAGGTACAGGTTTGGGTTGTATTCATCTAGTACTTGGATTTCATTGAATCTCTGGTCACGTTACAGCTTAACCAGCATGTTTCAGTTGTGGGATATGGTTTCAGCTACTCACAGACTTCTTGTAAGAAATGCTGAATGAGGAGAAAGGACAAGTCTATCACTTATTAGTCTGGCGGGACAGAAACTCTCTCTGACTTTATTTCAGCCTTTCTTTCCATTGCTTTCCAGTTTCTCTTATACCGGGTGGTTGGACTCTCTTGCCTCCCGTGTGGAGGGATCCCATCTTCCTGTCTTCAAGAGCCCTGACCTAGTTGGTTCTCCAGAAGATGCTGCTGGGTAAGTGAGAACATCAACCTGACAATTCTCAAGCAACAGATCTGGAAGACAGCAGGGACTCCACCTTAGGAGAACTGTGGTTTCTACGCCTGGTGCATCGACACAATCCAGTGGCTTCGCCTCTCCCTGGACACGTGTGAGCCGCACCCTCCCAAGGCGCACCCAGCACTAAGTGAATGACAGCTTACTTGCCATTCGTCCACCTCTTCTTCCTCCCATTCAGGAAAGAATATGCAAGTGCCAGTGAGCAAGAACGATGCTATAGGGATACTGTGAGCTCAGGCTAACTTATCTCAGGAAGCAAACCATCCCCCGGCCTCCATATTGAGTGATGGGGGAACAGGGCATGTGGACACCCTCCCCACTGACGGCGGCGCACCGCTTGCTGTTAATAACTGCTCGAGTCGAGAACAGCTGCATGATTCGCTGTCACTGTTTATCTGGGATGTTGCCATGGAGTTACAAAACAAGAGCTGCCTAACAAATGTTCATAAGACTGACTGCTCCGTGGCAAGCTGTTAGTTCTGGGAAGGCTCTCTGTGGCCTTCACTACCTTGTGGGCTGTGCCCCTGGGTGGTCAGGTGGTTTGTAGCCTTGGGGGCAAATTACCCTGGGTGGTCACCTGAGCAGAACAAAAAGTGTGTGGACTATGGGTCACCACCCCTCCCAATCACATAATACATTTCAAAACCACATGAAGTAAATCACTGGAATAGATGTATAATGTTATTAGGTGAAATACCTGCATTCTTCCTTTATTCTTAGTCACAATCAAGGTGGTTGCTTTTGACGGGTCCAGGGAGATGCCTTTGTCTCTTTCATTTAACTGTGACTAAAATAAATGAACACATTCTCATTAAAATTTCTACCTGGACAAGTGTGATTATATAGAACACACATTGAGTGTTTTTTATTCACATATGTTGATGCATTATGATACTCTAACCACAAAAAGAGAGGCAGGGCACAAACAAATACTAATTAAAAGAAAAGAAAGAAACTAATATTTACTGAATGCCTACCATATACCAGGCATGTGACACACAGTTTCACATCTAATTTTCTCAACCAACCTTATGATGTAGATATTATTATCCCAATATTTCAGATGCAGAAACAGAGTCCCAGGGTGGTAAAGTATTTCATGGAAAATTACATAGTGGGGGTGACATGTGAACTCAAGACAGACTTCAAAGCTGGTGTCCTTGTTACTATTACACTAGACACCAACTGTCCCTCGGTACTGAGTGGAGATGGCTGTGCCTTGAGGGGACCTCGCTGTTACCACTGTACCAGGGTAGCATTCTGCCCGAGGAGGCCAATTTTATGCCCTACCCACTAAGACTGTGCTACTGTTGTACCAAAACTTATTATTTTTTTTTATCCTCACTCGAGGACATTTTCCCATTTTTTGTTCAGATAGAGTGGGAGGGAGAGAGAGGAAGAGAGAGATAGAGAGAAATATCGACATGAAAGGGACACATCGAGTGGCCGCCTCCCACACAACCCAACCAGGGCTGGGGACAAACTGCAACCGAGGTATGTGCCCTTAGCAGGAACCGAACCCGGGTCTCTCGGGACCACAGGCCGACGCTCTAACTGCTGAGCCAAACTGGCCAGGGCACCAAAACTTATTTTTATACATAAAAGAATCAAGGATTTCATAGCCACAAAACTCCAAAGTGCTAAAAGTTGGTTAGGTGCTTCTCTGTGTTCCCTGCATCTGATTCTGTTTCGTCACTGGCTGTTACTTATTAAAATGCTCAGCCCAGACTTGAAGGTCCCTGAGGCAGGGACGGTGTTTTGTTCAATGTTGCATTCCCACATCCACCGGAGGGCCTGGCATATAGTAGTTACACGATACAACTTGTTGAGTAAACGGATGGGTGGTGGTAAAGCAACCTGTTCTTATGTTCTGGGTATGGTCACAAATCACCAATATTTGATGTCAGACTTCAGCAGTGTCTACTCCAAAGCAGAGCCCGTCTTCCCACCAATTTTAATGTTCCCCTGCCCCCAGCGGCACGGCAGGTCAAGGTAACACAGAGGGCCACTGTGTTCTTCACCCTGCGGGAGACACACACTGATCGGGAAAATCAGACAATCTGCATGACAGAGTGAAGGATGGGACAGAATACAGAGCCCAGAAATTAACTCATGTATGTATGGTTGTTTCATTTTCAACAAAGTAGCCAAGAATATACAATGGGAAAAAGATACTTTCTTCAAGAAATGGTGTTGGAAAAACTAGATATCCACATGCAAAAGAATGGAACTGTACCCCAATCTTACACCATACATAAAAGTCAACTAAAAATGGATAAAAACCTAAATTTAAGACATGAAACCAGCCCTGGCCCGTGTGGCTCAGTTGGCTGAAGAGTCACCAGTTTGGTTCCCAGTCAGGGCATATATCCAGGTTGCAGTTTCGATCCCCCGTCAGAGTGCATACAGGAGGTAGGAGGTAACGGATTGATGTTTCTCTCTCTCTCCCTCTCCCTTCCTGTCTCTCTAAAATAAAATTTAAAAAGAAAAAGACCTGAAACTGTAAAACTCTTGGAAGAAAACATATGAAGTAAGCTCCTCAACATAGGTCTTGGCAATGATTTTTTGGATTTGACACCAAAAGCAAAAAGAACAAAAGAAAAAATAAACAAGTGAGACTACATCAACTAAACAGCTTCTGCACAGTAAAGAAAATCATCAACAAAATAAAAAGGCAATCTATTGCCCAGCAGTGTGGCTCAATGGTTGAGCATCGACCCATGCACCAAGAGGTCGTCAGTTCGATCCCCGGTCAGTGCACATCCCTAGTAGGGGGCATATAGGAGGCGGCCAATTGATGTTCTCTCTCATTGATGTTTCTCTGTTTTTCTCTCCCTCTCCCTTCCTCTTTCTCTCTCTAATATCAATAAAGAAAAAAAAAATTTTTTAAAGGCAATCTATTGAATGGGAGAAAATATCTGCAAACAATATGTTATTTAGCCACAATAAAGAAGGAAATTCAGCCATTTGAGACAATATGGATGAACATGGAGGATGTTATGCTGAGTGAAATAAGCCAGACAGAGGAAGACAATAAGGCATGATATCATTTATATGTGGAACCTAAAAAAAGTCAAGCTCGTGGAGTCAGAGAGTAGATGGTGGTTGCCAGGGGCTGGGAGGTGGGGCAAATAGGGGAGGGTGGTCACAGGGTACAAACTTTCAGTTATCGGATAAAGTCTGAGGATCTGATGTATAACATGGTGATTATAGTTAATAATACTGTATTATATAATTAAAACTTGCTAAGAGTAGAACTGAATGTGTTCTCACCAAAAGAAAAAAGAAGGTAAATATGTGAGGTAGTGGATGCGTTAATTGACTCAATGGTGGAAATCCTTTCACAATGTATACACATATCAAATTATCACGTGGTACACTTAAAAAAAAATCCTCACCCAAGGATATTTTTTCATTTATTTTCAGACAGAGTGGGAGGGAAAGAGAGAGACAGACAGACAGACACATCGACTGGTTGCCTCCCACACAACCCGACCAGGACCGGGGACGAACTGCAACCGAGGTACATGCCCTTGACGGGAATCGAACCCACGACACTTTGGTCCGCGGGCCGACGCTCTAACCACTGAACAAACTGGCCAGGGCCACGTTGTACACTTTTAAAAAATTACAAAAAAAGTTTTAATAAATTTTCAATGATTCAGTTAAAAAAAGTCAAGCAAAGCCCTGGCCAGTTTGGCTCAGCGGTTAGAGCGTCGGCCTGCGGTCCGGAGAGACCCGGGTTCGGTTCCCACTAAGGGCATGTACCTCGGTTGCAGTTTGTCCCCGGCCCTGGTTGGTCGTGCGGGTGGCAGCCACTCGATGTGTCCCTTCACGTCGATGTTTCTCTCTCTCTCCCTTCCTCTCTCTCCCTCCCACTCTATCTGTACAAAAAATGGAAAAATATCCTCGGGTGAGGACAAAAAAAAAAAAAAAAAAAAAAGTCAAGCAAAAATGATTACCTCATTCGTCCTTGGTCTTCCATTTCTTACTGTTGAAGAACTGGTATTCTCTGAATTTTTGAATAAGGTAGGCTGCTTTTGCAGCATAGAAGCAAATCCTTCCCTCTTCTAGAAGATTGAATGCAAAGAGAACGTTTTTCACTTGACCCATTGTAATTACTTTACTCATAATTGACCCAATTTGCCCAACAGTAAAATCCCGCTTCTGAAAGCATTTTCAACCTTAGAAAGCAGAGGGTATGATGTGGGTGTAGCTGATAGGAGAAAGACAAGGACGGAGCCATCCAGGTGACTAGCCTGGATCAGGCTTGAGCCCTCAGCATCCAGAAGCCCTGAACTAGCTCTAGCAACTCCTTTTCCAGCCAGTTCCACCTCTTCCTCTAGAAATCCAGATGTGGTCAAAACCGAGACTTGTTGTTCCAGAGCATAGCAGAGGATCCGCAGGCCAAGGCAGAAAGCTGCTCGGAGATGTCCAGAGGCCCATGAAAGAGCTCTGAACTGAAGCTAGAAAGCTTACCCCTCCCATCCCCGTTCTGGTTCAGAGTGAACCTCAACCCCATCCTGCCGTCCACGGAATACCCTTTAACCAGACAGCAGAAGGCGGCCCAAGAGCTTTCTTACCAGGGCATCTTCTGTTGACTTCAACACCCGTATCAGATTATTTTTCTGATACTGTTCATTTCGCTGTTTCCTTGTCTGAAGTGGCTTCATTTTTTTCTTCTTATACATCTTCTTCTTATGATTCAACTATTCCAGAAAGTACAAAGAAACTAGTCATTGAGGATTCCAGAGGATCTCTTCACACAGCACTCAAGACACAATAGCTAACCTGGTCTGCAGCCCTCACAGTGTTCAATTGTTGTTGGTTTAAAGAACAAACAGTTCCATTACCTCCTTACCAGAGGCTGCTCCCCACTGAACACCTCCCAGATCCCACTATTATACATATATTGCCAAAGGGGCTCCTATACCAATGATTAATTATCTGTGATTTATTATTTGAAATCAGATTACTTATGGCACTGACAGGTACAGACAATACTGATTATTCAATGTGTGGTTAAAAGATTAAATTTGGTTGTTACTACAAGATGGCTTTAATAATTAAGCAAATGAAGCTCAGGATCAGTTTTCTAGGTACCTCTAGAGTGGCAATGCTTCATCTGATTTTGCTGCCAACCCAGCTGAAGCGATTGTAGGGTCCAGTCTAATTTGGCTGGCTCCTCGTGGCAGCCTTAATCTCACCCTATGACGGAGATGTTTCTTAATGCAATTAGGAAATCATGTGCATAATAAACCACAAAAAATATTTTGTTGTTTCTAAATATCATCTTATATATCATCCATGTAAGAAAAAATCTGCAAACAGATGGGCAAAAGAGTTATTTGATATATGAAAGTATAAAAAACTATCTAAGGCTACATGAATAAAGAAACACCATTTAGCCCTGGCTAGGTAGCTCCGTTGGTTAGAGCATTGTCCTGAGACCCCAAGGCTACAGGTTTGATCCCTGGTCAGGGCACATACAAGAATCAACCAATGAATGCATAAATAAGTGGAACAACAAGTTTGATGTTTCTCTCTCTCTCTAAAATCAATAAATAAAACAATTTTTAAAAAGAGAAACACTTTATAAAAAGTATGGGTCTTTTTTTTTTAATCCTCACCCAAGGATATTTTTGCATTCATCTTCAGATAGAGTGGGAGGGAGAGAGGGAGGAAGAGAGAGAGAAACATCGATGTGAGAGAGACACATCGACTGGTTGCCAACACACGACCCCAACCGGGGCCAGGGACAAACTGCAACCAAGGTATGTGCCCTTAGCGGGAACTGGCCCGACGCTCTAACCGCTGAGCCAAGCCAGCCAGGGCTAAAAAGTTTGGCTCTTTACAAAAGAACTATAAACAACTTTAAATTTTCAATTACAGTTGACATTCAATATTATTCTGTGTTAGTTTCAGGTGTACAGCATAGTGGTTAGACAATCATACACTTAGCACAGTGTTCTCCCAATACTTCCATTGCCCACCTGGCCCCATACATAGTTACTGCAATATTAGACTATATTCCCTATGCTGTACTTTACATCCCTGGAGCTACTGTGCACCTACCAATTTGTACTTCTTAATCCCTTCACCTTTTTCATCCAATCCTCCAACCCTCCTCCCCTCTGGCAACCAAGTGTGGGTCTATCTCTTAACATGGTTTTCACTTTTAGTTAAATGTGGGTTGTTTTTTTTTCACTTTAAGCTAACTTTGTAATAAATATGAAATCCTCACATTTTTCCCCCTAGATTTTTTAAATGAAAGTTATAAAGGACAAAGTGAAAGACTGTCACCAGTTAGGATGCTATTGATATATTTTCGGAAGATCTTCGAATAGTTGGAAAATTCCACCAAATTATGAAGTAGCATCATGCCCTTTTTAAGGCTGCTACTTCCTGGGTACAAGAGTGTATCTAATCTCACCTCATCTGCTATGTTCAGGAGGTGAACAGGGAGACCGTCTGAGAGGGAACTGTCAGAACCACTGGTGCTATTTTCAAAAGAAAAGAAAGGGAAGGTTACCTGTTATTAATGTCTGCAAGTATACCATCTACCAGGCTGGCTGCATGAGGTCAGGCTATCTAGTCTGCTATTTGCCCGCACTGTTTCAATTACTGAGAACTCCTGACAAGCACATTCATTCACCCACTCTGAACACTCACTGCATGCCAGGCAGTGCACCAGGAAAAAGAGATGGACACGGCAGAGCCCCTGTCCCAGGGAGTCTGCAATCAGTGTGGAAAAAAAAGCCAACCAGCCAGATGGACAGAGCTGCCCTTGGCAGAGACTGTGAGAGACTGTACGATTCTTTTTCTTTTTTTCTTTTATTGATTTTTTTTTTTTTATCCTCACCCGAGGATATTTTTCCATTTTTTGTACAGATAGAGTGGGAGGGAGAGAGAGGAAGGGGGAGAGAGAGAGAAACATCGACGTGAAGGGACACATCGAGTGGCTGCCACCTGCACGACCAACCAGGGCCGGGGACAAACTGCAACGGAAGTACGTGCCCTTAGCGAGAACCGAACCCGGGTCTCTCAGGACCGCAGGCCGACGCTCTAACCGCTGAGCCAAACTGGCCAGGGCTCTTTTATTGATTTTAGGGAGAGAGGAAGAGAGAGAGAGAGAGAAACATCAATGAGAGAGAACATCAACTGGCTGCCTCCTGCATCCCCCACACTGGGGATTGGCCCACAACCTGGTCATGTGCCCTGGCCGGGAATCGAATGGGCGACCTCTTGGTGCATGGGGTCAATGCTCAACTACTGAGCCACACGGCTGGGCTCCCTTTGACCTTTTAAAGCTGTGGTACCAGCTCAGACTTGGACTTCTTCTTTATGCTATCTGCACTTACTCTGTTGGGATCTCATCTAGTCTTAAGGTTTAAATATCTATCCAGTGATGACTCTATTAGACTTCACTAAATTCCAGACTCATATAGCCAAGTGCCTATTCAATATCTCCATTTAAATGTCTAACAGATATATCTCAAACTGAACATGCCAACACTAGATTCTTGGTCTTCCCCAGCCCCCTGACCTTCTCCACCCCCTTGACCTTCCCCATCTCAGTTAAAGGCAATTCCATCCAGTCAATTATGGAGTCATTCTTTCTCTTGTGCTCTATATCCAATCTATAAGTAAATCCTAATATTTAACACTTCAAAATATATCTCAAATCCAACCAATTCATACCACCAACCACTACTACTCTGGTCTAAGCCACAATCATCTTTCACTTGTATCACTGCAAGAGCCTCCTAAAGAGTGTCCCTGCCTAGACATTTCCTCTTTACAATCTGCTTTCCACAGAGCAGCCAGAGTGTTCCTACTGACACTAAAACCAGTCAGATCCTGACACCTCTCTACTTAAAATCTCCCAAAGGGTGCCTGGCCGGTGTGGCTCAGTGGATTGAGCATCGTCCTATGCACTGAGAGGTCCCGTTTTGATTCCCGGTCAGGGCACATGTCTGGAGTTGCGAGCTTGATCCCCAGTAGGGGGCATGCAAGAGGCAGCTGATGGATGTTTCTCTCTCTCTAAAAAATCAATAAAAACATATTTTTAAAAAATCTCCCAAAGGTTTTCCATCCCCTTTGGAATAAAACGCAAAGGCTTTTACAATTGCCTGCAAGGTCCTACACCAACTGCCTGCCCATCTCCCCACCCTTTCTAGGCCCCACCCTTTCTAGGACCTAGAAAAGGGGTCAAAGAGCAGGCACTCAGCAGCTGTCAGAGGGATGAAGTGTATTTAAATGTGCCACGTATTTTGCACCTGAGATTCAAAACCAACAAAACAACAGAGCAAACAAATAAATAAAACTTCTCCGGTTTTTCTTTGAAATGAAGTTTGTTACCTGGATTCAATGTCAGACAAAGAGATGTCATTCCATCTTCCTTCGAAATCCGTATCTTGTCCAAAATCATTGATTTTCTTAGAGATTTCTTGTTGTAAGAGTTCTTTAAGCTCTTCCAGACACTGCATGAACTGTGGAAATGAAAAAAGAACTATTTTTGATTATTCATTTATTTATTCATCATATTATTTACTAAGTATATGCTAAAGGCACTGTATTGCTGGGGACATAAAGATGAGTAAACTGTGTCCCAGCCGGGTGGCTCAGTTGACTGGAGCATCGTCCCATACACCAAAGGTTTCGGGTTCAATTCCCAATCAAGGCACATGCCTAGGTTGCAGGTTTGATCCCCAGTCTGGGCATGTGCAGATGGCAATCGATCCATGTTTCTCTCTCCTTCCCTTCCTCCCTTCTTCTCTCTTGCTCTCTAAAACTAGGTAAGAACATATCCTCAAGTAAGGATTAAAGACAAACTTAAAATTAAGAAAAAAGGTGAGCCCTGGCCAGTTTGGCTTGGCGGTTAGAGCAGCGGCCCGTGGACCAAGGAGTTTTGGGTTCGATTCCGGCCATGGGCACATACCTCGGTTGCGGTTAGTCCCCGGCCCCAGTTGGGGTCATGAGGGTGGCAGCCAATCGGTGTGACTCTCTCACATCAATGTTTCTCTCTCTCTCTCTCTCCCCCACCTACTCTGTCTGAAGATAAATGTAAAAAAAAGATAAAAAGGTGATAAGCTGGAATGTCTGCTACTAAGGATGTGTTAACAGATAGCTACATGAGCTGTGGGAACACAAAGAAGTGTTACTATGTGGCTGTAAGGAACTCTTACTTTTTGCAACAGCAGAGATGGACCTGGAGAGTATTATGCTAAGCAAAACAAGCCAGTCAGAGAAAGACAACTACCATACGATCTCGCTTACATGTAAAATCTAATGAACAAAATAAACTGACAAACAAAATGGAAACAGAGGCATGGATCCATGGAACAGACTGACAGACGTCAGAGGGGAGGTGGGTGGGGTAGATGAGAGAAGGTGAAGAGATTAGCTAAAGAGCATATATGCATAGCCCATGCACACAGATAACGGTGTGGTAAGGGCCAGAGGGAAGGGGAGGGCGGGGTCTGGGTGGAGGTGGGCAAAGAGGAGGGGAAATGGGGACATCTGCAATAATGTCAACAATAAAAATAAAATATTTTAAAAAAAAAGCCCTGGCCGGTTTGGCTCAGCGGTTAGAGCGTCGACCTGCGGTCCTGAGAGACCCAGGTTCGGTTCCCGCTAAGGGCGCATACCTCGGTTGCAGTTTGTCCCCGGCCCTGGTCGGTCGTGCGGGTGGCAGCCACTCGATGTGTTCCTTTCACATCGATTTCTCTCTCTCTCTCTTCCTCTCTCTCCCTCCCATTCTACCTGAACAAAAAAATGGGAAAATGTCCTCGGGTGAGGATAAAAAAAAAAAAAAAGCCCTGGCTGGTTTGGCTCAGAGGTCAGAGTGTCAGCCCACAGCCCACAGACCAAAGGATCTTGGGTTCAATCCCCAGTCAAGGGCAGGTGAGTGCCTGGGTCGCAGGTTCAATCCCCGGCTCCGGTCGAGGTTGTGTGGGAGGCAACCAATCGATATGTCTCTCTCATATCGATGTTTTTCTCTCTCCCCCCTTCCCTCCCTCCCTCTCCCCCTTCCACTCTAAGAAAGCAATGGGTGAGGATTAACAACAACAACAAAAGAAAGTGTTTGGGGTAGAACACTAGTGAGCACTGCTCCAGCCACTCTTCCCCGGCCACAGCCAATAATAAATTCTTAAATAACGCAAAGGTCTGATTTAATTTATTTTACTTTTGAGTAGTAAGAAAGGAAAAGTGAAAATGGAGTTGTTCAGATTTTGGCCTATGGTAAATATGATTTAATGGGCTATGTTGTGCTCAAATTCTCCTTTAAATATTTTCATTAATTAGTTGCATCCAGAGTGGTGCATTTCACGTTCCCAGGGCTGACATTTCAGAGGGCGTCTGAGAGACGAGTTAGAGGCCATGAGTACAGACTCCTTTCTAAGAAGTTGAGCGAGAAAGGGAAATAGAAATAACCTGCAGAAGAAACAAGGCCAAAGGATTTAGGATAGAAGCAGCTTTAGAACATTTGCAGTCAAGGGGAAAAAGTAAGAAGAAAACTGAGGATACAGAAAGATGGGAGGTTTTAAAGGAGGCAAGACCTCAGGGAGGCCGCAAGGGGTGAGCAAGTGCACAAAGGGCAGGGTTAGTTTTGGAGAAGCGGAAGGACAGCTGATTTTCTGCAACAGGAGAAAGGGAAACAAGAATGGGTGCTGCCATGGGTACGCCTAGGAGTGAGGTGTGAGGGAAGCTGGCACAATGGCCTCTATCTCCTTGGTGAATGGAGGTCTTACCATTTGCCGAGAGTGTGCAGGCTGGGCCTTTCTCATTTTTTTGTGTTAACCCTCACCTGAGGATATTTTTCCATTGACTTTTAGATAGAGTGGAAGGGAGGGGAAGGAGAGAGAGAGAGAGAGAGAGAGAGAGAGAGAGAGAGAGAGAGAGAGAGAAACATTGATGTGAGAGAGACATAGATTGATTGCCTCCTGTACGACCATGGCCGGGACCAGGTATCAAACTTGCAACCCAAGTATGTGTCTTAGCTCAGCACTTGAAACCATGATCCTTTGGCTGATCAGTCCATGGGCTGTTGCTCTAACTGCTGAGCCAAATCAGCCAGGGCTTCTTATTTTCTTTGATTGTAAAAACTTCAGAAAAATATTAAAAGGCAATAAAGATCACCTGAAACGCCAGTGAGCTGACTTGGGCCCATGTGAAAGTAACTGATCGCAGCAGCAGCATCACCACACTTCTTGAAACCCCATTTTTACCTTGGTTCGGTCAGGATCACAGAAGTCCAGGAGGGTGTCACAGACATGATAGCCGAGGGACTTCAGATCCTCAGTGGTAAAATGAGTGTCTCTTTTATTCCCTGGAAAAAATCCATAGACATTTCTTAATGAAATCTTAATGAGCAAATGCAGATCTAATTGATGAATATCTGATTAAAAACACCACCTCTGATTCTAGAACATTATGCTTCTGGACAAGGTTTCTCTCCTAGGTTTAGTTTGGTTCAGGAGACTCTTTGACAATGAAGATATTTACAATCATGATGGCTATAATTATAAAGTTATAATTACAATGATAAGGTTTTACTTTGCGGTAGGCACTGTGCCAAGTGCTTCACATGCACTGTCTCACTAAGTAGTACCTATAATGCAGGTACTCTTATTGACAGTCAAAGAAAAATGAGGTTCAAGAGTTAAGGAACTGACCCAGGATCATACAACTTGTAAATGGGGCTGGAATTCAAACCCAGATCTGCCTGATTCCAGGTCCTTAGCAACCACTAAGCTACAGTGCTCCATTAAATATTATATTTCACTCATATTTTGGGTACTCAAATTAGGCATAAGGCACAGATAAGAAAATCCTCTAGTATCCAGAGTCTAGATCAATTTTCTCCCCAACATTAAAAAAAAAAAAATCCTCACCCAAGGATACTTTTTTCCATTTATCTTCAGATAGAGTGGGGGAGAGATAGAGAGAAACATCAATATGAAACAGACACATCGATAGGTTGCCTCCCGCACGACCCTGAGCAGGGCCGGGGACTGAACCACAATCGAGGTACATGCCCTTAGAGTCGAACCCGCAACTCTTTGGTCCTCGGGCTGACGGTCTAACTGCTGAGCCAAACCGGCCAGGGCTCTCTCCAACGTTGAAAGGGATCTCATCTCCTCAACCCTTTGCGTGGCTCCCCTGGCCATGCTGGCCTAGGAGCCACAGAAGCAAGCTCACCCAGGGTGGACCCGCCAAAGGTAGACTCCATGGTGTAGCTGTTCAGGATTCCCATCCGCCACATCACCACTCGTCCCGTTCCTTCTTTGCACTTTTGGACCTTAAAATTACAGCTATGAAAAGAGAACTAAAGAGAAATCCAAATCCTCTGTTAATCATAAACTGGTAAATGTAAACTATCTAAGATTCATTAATATGATACCAGGAGGGTCTCCTTGGGATCTATATATTATTTCCTAAAGTATGTTCCATACAATTCTAATTCTAAGAGATGTTAATAGGTATGACAGAGGAAAACCTGAATTCCATGGTCATGTTCATCAGGGAGATAAAGGGTTAACGGAATTGAATAGGCTTCCTCTGCAGCACCTCTCGGAATGTTTAATGTTAGTGGGGACTGTGATCCTCCAAAGGAGAGGGATACTGTTTTTCACTGCTCATGCACCCTTCCTTCTCTTCCGCCCCCTTTCCTGCGGACATTTTGCAGGGCGAGGGTTCCTTGAACACCTGTTGCGAATGCTGGCTTACTTTGGCATTGAAGGCAGTAGCCAACCTTTCTGAGACTTATTTTCTACCCCTCCCCAGTCTGAACCCTTGGATCTTGTTGGGTTTATCCTCTGTATATGATCTGTGTACGCCTCAGCCCTACAGGCTCTGCCTGGAACTCTCTCGCTCCCTTATGCCAATGTTCTCAGCTCAGAGTTCCACGTCCTCCATTGTGCTCCATGACCACCCCAACGCTCTCCTCTCTTAGAGTCTGTGACATACAGTAGGCACCTATCCCAACCTAGCCTAGCCCATCCTGCTGAAAATGCTTTACATTTGGGAGCTGTCTCACCACCTAGTGGTTTCTGACTTGTGCTCTGTGGAATCCAGGGGTTCCACTGAGGAGCCTCAGGGCATTCCCATCCAAGGACTGGAGGAGAAGGCAGAACAGGCAGGGTTTCAGCCTTCTACCAACTCTTTGGTCCTCGGCTCTGCTTTCCATTGTTTTAGATACTGGGTTCTGGATGTGATTTCATTTGAAGAAAGAGATACCAAAAATAGAAAGAAATATTAAAAAAAAAAGAAAGAAAGAAAAGGAAGGGAAGGAGAAAGGAAGAAAAGCTGCCTTTTCCTTAAAAAAAATTTTTTTTTCCTTTATTGATTTGAGAGAGAGAGGGAGTGAGAGAGAGAGAGAGAGAGACATCGATGAGAGAGAGAGAGAGAGACATCGATGAGAGAGAGAGAGAGAGACATCGATGAGAGAGAGAGAGAGAGCATCGATTGGTCGCCTCCTGCACGCCCCCCACTGGGGGTCAGGCCCACAACCTGGGCATGGGTCCTGACCAGAAATTGAACCAGCCACCTCATGGTGCATGGGTCGATGTTTAACCACTGAGCCAGACTGGCTGGACTCCTTTTTTTTATATAATAAGAGCAGCTGATATAAAACATTTGTCTTAAATATTTTTATGTGAGAAAATTTGTACTATCCTTTAAATGCTTTCCTAAATCCAACCTAATTTCTTCTTTCTAAAGACAGTTACATTTTATGAAAGTATTTATGATGCTGCAAACCAACTTCTAAACCAATGCAGACACTCTGTATATACCCAACTGTCACAGAGGTTACTCAGCCAACCATTAAAAACTTGTTTAAAAAAACCTTGTTTTCACAAGCCCTTTATTTATTTTTTAAATTTTATATGTTTTTATTTTTTATTTTTTTTTTTAGAAAGAGAGGAAGGGAGAGAGAGAGAGAGAGAGAGAAACATCGATGTGAGAGAGAAACACTGATGGGCTGCCTCTTGCACACTTTCTGCTGAGGATCAAGCTCACAACCTGGCCCTGACTAGGAATGGAATCAGGACCTCTCAGTCCATGGGAGGATGCTGAATCCACTGAGCCACACCAGCTGGTCATCCATTAGCCCTTTAATATCTTCGCTATTTGTGATCTTGCATTACATAAACTTTTCTGTGGAGGCTCACATAACATGAGCATTTTGTTTCTCCTTCAATACTTGCTTCCATTGCAAATCACAGGATTAATGACAGATAACTCTACTGCTAAGAGTTTGAACTTGTGCCCGGGCAAAGCAGGTGGAGAAATTTTAAAAAAATCACCTTTACTGATATATAATTCACTTACACATTACAAAAATCCACACATTTAAAGTACACAATTCAGTGGTTTAAGTATACACACAGAGTTGTAATGTAAGTCTGGAACATTTTCAATACTCTAAAAGAAACCCAGTACCCATTAGAGGTCACTCCCCACCCTGCCCCTAGCCCTGGGAAATCACTAAACTACTTCCTGTCTCTACAGCACTCATGGAATGGAATCATGCAATATGTGACCTTTTGTGTCTTTTCTTTAACCTAGCATCGTGTTTCCAAGGTCCCCCATGTCCTCACGTACCAGTAGTTAAATCTTTTTCTTGTCGAACAACATTCCATTGTGTGAACATACTGCATTTTTTTATCTGTTCAGCAGTTGATGCACACAGAATAATTCTTAAAACAATACCTTTCTAAATTCTTGAAGTCCAGGTTGTGGGATTTACCCAAGATAAAAAGAGATACAGAGTGGCAAAGCAAACACTATTACATAGGAAGTAGAGAGTTCCCTTCTTCCTTAGTCAAAGAACAGAAAATTACCTTATGTGCTCACCTTGTCTGGTGCATTTTTGCTTAACATGAAAGGAAAGACTCGCTCATGAAGCCAGTACTTGCGATCATTGCTATTGCAGCCATACAGGAAGATGTTATTCTTACGGCTGTGGCCATGGAAATCACAATACAGGAGAACCTCCCTTTCTTCAAGAAGTCTGTTGAGGGGGGCAAACAAAGGACTCAGTGGACATCCAAATGCATGGAAATAATCAAGGCTTTTTTTGGAGTCTTTTCCATAAGTATATCTGTTGATACCTTCCCTTCTAAGAAAAATTCAACCCCTAATGGCCTTCCTAGCACCCTATCTTCATCCTCAGCCATAAACACATCATCAGTACTCCTTGCCCCTGCCAGTCAGAGACGCTTGAGACAAAGAAGTCCTGACCTGGAAAGGGATGCTGGGTAGGCCTTGTGTAAGTTGACAAGGAAGTAGAGAAAACCTACTGAAAAAAAGCCCACCCTGCTGCAGACCTGTGGAAAGTAGGGGAAAGGTAGAGAGGCAGTAATTGCAGGAATAAAAAAGAAAGAACTAAAGAAAGCCTTGGTTCTTCATTTTCCAGGGCTAGTTCTTTTATATATATATATATATATATATATATATATATATATATATATATATATATATATATATATTCTTATTTATTTATTTATTTATTTATTTAAATCTTTATTGTTGAATGTATTACAGATGTTCCTCATTTTTCCCCCATTGACCCCCCTCCTCCCCACTCCGATCCCCCTCCTGCCTTTTCCCACACTGTTGTCTGTGACCATTGGTTGTTCATATATGCATATAAGTTCTTTGGTTTATTTCTTCCCACCCCCCAAACTCCCCTTCCCTTTGAGGTTTGTCAGTCTAACAACCAATTTGTTCCTAATCCCTTCACCTTTTTCACCCATTCCTCCAACCCCCCTTCCATCCGGCAACCAACAAAATGTTCTCTGTATCTTTTTTTTTTTTTTATCCTCACCCGAGGCTATTTTTCCATTTTTTGTACAGACAGAGTGGGAGGGAGAGAGAGGAAGGGAGAGAGAGAGAGAAACATCGACGTGAAGGGACACATCGAGTGGCTGCCACCCGCACGACCAACCAGGGCCGGGGACAAACTGCAACCGAGGTACGTGCCCTTAGCGGGAACCGAACCCGGGTCTCTCTGTACCGCAGGCTGATGCTCTAACCACTGAGCCAAACCGGCCAGGGCAAATGTTCTCTGTATCTATGAGAATGTTTCTGTTCTGCCTGTTCATTTTGTTTACAGATTCCATTGTTGGTAGATATGTATTCATTGCCATTTTGTTTGTTCATATATTTTATCTTTTTCTTCCAAAATACCCTTCAACATTTCATATAATAACGGTTTGGTGGTGACAAACTCCTTTAACTTCTTCTTGTCTGGGAAACTATATGGCCATCAATTCTAAATGACAGCTTTGCAGGATAGAGTAATCTTAGTTGTAGGTTCTTGCTTTTCATCACTCTGAATATTTCTTGCCACTCCCTTCTGGCCTGCAAAGTTTCTTTTGAGAAATCAGCTGACAGCCTTATGGGAACTCCCTTGTGTGTAACTAACTGCTTTTCTCTTGCTGCTTTTAAGATTCTCTCTTTGTCTTGAACCTTTGTCTTGAACATTTTGATGATGATGTGTCTTGGTGTGGGCCTCTTGGGGTTCATCTTATTTCGGACTCTCTGTGCTTCCTGGACTTATATGTCTGTTTCCTTCACCAAGTTAGGGAAGTTTTCTGCCATTATTGTTTCAAATAGGTTTTTGATTTCTTGTCCTCTCTCTTCTCCTTTTGGCACCCCCAAGATGTGAATGTTGGCACGCTTGAAGCTTTCCCAGAGGCTCTCTACACTATCCTCATTTTTTTGGATTCTTTTTTCTTTTTGCTGTTCTGATTGGGTGTTTTTTGCTTCCTTAGATTCCAAATCTATGGTTTGCTTCTTGACTTTACCTACTCTACTACTGAATCTGTGAAAATTATTCTTTATTTCAGTTAGTGCCTCCTTCATTTCTGACTGGTCCTTTTTTATGCTCTTGAGGCCCTCACTAAGTTCGCTGAGGTTCTCACTAAGTTCAGTGAGCATCTTTATAAGCAGTATTTTGAACTCAGCATCTGTTAGGTTGCTTATCTCCATTTCACTTAGTTCTTTTCCTGGAGTTTTGTTCTGTTCTTTCATTTGGGACCTGTTTTTTTGTCTCCTCATTTTGGCTTCCTCCCTGTGTTTGTTTCTATGTATTACATAATGAGAGGTATGGGGTTAGCTGAGACCAGATGCTGCTTGTTTGAAAGAATTTAGGAAAACCTGAAGCAGGATCCAAGACAGGCTAATCCTAAGGTCAAGCAACTGGCAACAGCTTGGGTGGGCCTGAAAGTTGGGTGGAGCGGAGCCCCAGGGAATCACTAGGGCCAGGTTGCTGGAGTCCCAGATATGGCCGCTGTCTGCCACCCCAGGGAAGGGCTCACCAAAGGAACAAAAGCCTCTGACAGCACGTTTGTCCTGGAGAAAGCCCCTCTCCAGCCCTCGCTCATGCCAAACAGCTCAGTTCTTCCTTGTATGTCTCTGGCATCCCTTGAGCTGCCTCCCCTCCAAGCTTAGAGGGAGTGAGTCCGATAAGTCCCTGCATGGGCCCTTAAAGAGGAGCTGTCTGGGGCTCCAGCCATATCAGCCTCCCTGAGCCTCAGTTCCTGCTGGTTTTTCCAGCCAGAAGTTATGGGGATTCTCTTCCTGGCACTGCAACCCTGAGTGAGGCGCCTGGTGTGGGACGGGGACCCCTCAATCCTCAGGGAGGACCTTCCCAGCCAAGGTGTCCTCCTGATTTTTATTCACCACACGTGGGTGTGGGACCAGCCTGTCCGCCTCCACCCCAGGGCTAGTTTTTAAATAGGTCATAAGTGGCCTGGTTGGTTTAGTCAGCGATTAGAGTATCAGCCCTTAGACAGAAGGGTCTCAGGCTTAATTCCCGGTCAAGGGCACATACCTGGCTTGCAGGTTCTATCCCTGGCTTCAGTCAGGGTTGTTAGGGAGGCAACCAATCTATGTGTCTCTTTCACATCAATGTTTCTCTTTCCCTCTCTCTCCCTCCATCCCTTCCACTCTATCTAAAAGTCAATGAAAAAAATATCCTTGGGTGAGGATTAACAACAAAAAAAGGGTCATAAGTGTAAAGCACTGGAATACTGCCTGTTACCTCATACAAAAGTAGTAATTGGCCCTGGCTGGTTTGGCTCAGCGGTTAGAGCGTCGGCCTGCGGTACAGAGAGACCCGGGTTCGCTTCCCGCTAAGGGCATGTACCTCGGTTGCAGTTTGTCCCCGGCCCTGGTTGGTCGTGCGAGTGGTAGCCACTCGATGTGTCCCTTTCGCGTCAATGTTTCTCTCTCTCTCTTCTTCTCTCTCCCTCCCGCTCTATCTGTACAAAAAATGGAAAAATGTCCTCAGGTGAGGATAAAAAAAAAAGTAGTAATTGTTAGATACTATTACTATTATTACAGAGTTCTCATTGAGAAGACCTATGAATTCTTCTGACTTCTGACCTCTTTCATTCAATCATTCCACTTCTAAATGAAATACCTCTAGCTGATATGTTGCATGTTCAGTTTTAACCCAAAGATAAGACCCAATTTAAAAGTTTGAAAATGAACAAACCCACGTGACTACAAAGAGAATAGTAAATACTCTGCTTCCAAAGCCATTTCCGATTCCTACAACATTAGAAGTGACCTCGCCCTCCCGGCCCCTGCCATTAAATGGTGCTCATAGTAATCAGAGAAAGTTCAACAGATTAGAAGTCTCACCTCTTGATCATGTTCCTGGTATACCAGATGCAAGGGAAAGACTCCTTCAGAATGGTTCTGTAATGCCTGTTCAAGTCCCGTCCAGCCAATGAACACCGGTAATTCCCCACAATGACTCCATCTGGATTTAACATGGGAACCACTTTGAAGACAAAGATATCTCTGAGGAGCTCAGCATCTGGGGAGTTGCTAAGAATGAAGTCCAAAAAGCCTTTCATGATCCAGGAGCCATTACTTTCCCCCGGGTGGACCCTGGCGCTCAAGACCACGGCTTTCTTTGCAGCAGCCTCTTGAGGGGTCCGGGATGGGTTGGTGATGGTGAGCAGGTAGACGGTATTTCCTGCTAGGCTCCTGCATAAAGTTCGGAGTTTGCAGAACTGAGATTGGACAGGGTTGTTTGCCACCAACAGAAGGTAGCACTGCAAGTCTGTATATGTATATGGGTAGAAGTGTGCAAAGAAGCAAGTGTCCTGGTCATGTGGAAACTGAATGGTCCACGTGAGACAGTAAAAGGGCTTCTGCCCATCATCCGTGTTGTTCTTGTAGTACTTGATTTCATTTCCTTCTCTCCTCCAGCCAATGTTGTGGGTGCTGGCATCCAACTGGGAGTACATGAGTGGCTTCATCCCAATAGTATACAGGCTCTTGGGTTTCAGCAAGTTGATGATGGTGAAGCGATAGGTGGCATCTTTTCTGGTATTCTGAACTCGAAAATAAAACCACTGAGTGTGTTTGTTTGTGTAGAGGTCTGTTCTCAAGGTGAGTTCATACTCATAGGTGTCTCTGTAATGAAGAATACAGAAGAATATCTCCACAACACCTCCCTCAAAAAACAAATCTGGGAAAATATGAATTTTCCCTGGTAAAAATAGATCTTATTATAACAGAAAGCCTGCTATATCAAACATTTGTTTTCTAATTTACCTAGTTCTCCAACTCATATATTAGGCTATATTTGGGGTGGGACAGAAGAGTCTCAAACTTCACATGCTGCCCAGGATAGGATGTCTGGGGTGCTGCCCCTTGGTATCTCTCCACAGCCCAGCAGATGTTTCCAGCCACTTCAATCCAGTGCTCTGAAACACACCGAGCAGCGGTGAAGCCGGAGCCTTCTGTCGGCTGTACCTACCTACATCCTGGACATAACTAGTAGGGACAGACCCGTAAGCTTCCTGTGCTATTTAACTCTGATCAATTGTTTGAAGATAAGGGGGCTTTGCTGGAATGCATGCACCTTGTTGAAAATAGGATGTTGTTTTTTTCCCTCCATCTCATCATTTCAACATTGGAAAACAGGCACTCCCATACACTGTTGATGGAAACCAAAATCATGCTGGAGGGCAGTATAGTAAAAACTACTAATACTTAGTGTTCAAACCCCTTTGACCCATCAATTTTATATCAGAATTTATTCTATACCGCCACAAATACTTTAAAATATATACACACAAGGATGTTAATTCTTTTCATTTGCTTAGAAAAAATTGTAATTACCTTAATTTTTCATCAGTTAGGAACAGGGTAAATAAGGTGTGGAATATCCATATAATAGAATAATATGAACTATTAATAATAAGGAGATATATCTATGCTATTGTCATGCAAAAATATCTAAAATGTATTAAGTAGAAAAAACTTTGCAAAATGGTATATACACCATTATCCTAGTTTTAAAAATATATTGTGTGTATTACATGTACACACACACAGAGAAAACAATCAATGCACATACATCAGACTGTTATCAATTGCTCCATTTGGGAGGCACGATGATAGGACTAAAATTTTTTTTTTCTTTTTGATTTTTAGAGAGAGAAAAAGGGAGAGGGAGAGACAGACAGAAACATCGATGATAGAGAATATCGATTGGCTGCTTCCTGCATGCCCCCCACTGGGGATTGGGCCCACAACCTGGGCATGTGCCCTGACCAGGAATCGAACCGGTGACCTCTTTTGCATGGGTCGATGCTCAACCACTGAGCCACACCAGCTGGGCTAACACAAATTTTAAATGAGCACTAATTTCTTGTATAAGCAGAAAAAAAAAACCATTTAGATAAATATTTATTCTGGGAGAAAATAAGAGCTACAATTATTTCATTTCTGATAATCCTCATAACTATTTCCCTTCACCTCTCTCTTTTTCAAAAACACTCCTGGCTCCTAATATGATTCTTTTTTTTTTTTTTAATCCTCACCCGAGGACATTTTTGCATTTATTTTCAGATAGAGCGGGAGGGAGAAGAAGAGGGAGAGAGAGAAACATTGACATGAGAGAGACACATCGACTGGTTGCCACCTGCACAACTCCAACCGGGCCAGGGGCTAACCGCAACCAAGGCACATGCTCTTGGCGGGAACCGAACGTGGGACTCTCTGGTCTGTGGGTCAATGCTCTAACTGCTGAGCCAAACTGGCCAGAGCCCTAGTATGATTCTTGAAGACACTTCTCCATCACTTTCATCCTCATCCCTCTGGTACAGCCCCTTTGTTACTCACACTCTGACAGCTTTCTGCAGATTCCCACTCTCAAACCTGGATTCAAAAAGGAGAGTGTTATCTTCTGGTCCTTGCAACGTGACGGCGAGTTCCTTGATAATTCCCCGTTTGCCTCCCACTCGGGAACTGGTGAAGTAAGAGCCTTTGGTGGGCACTGCAGATGAGACAGACATTTTAGCCACATTCCTCTCAGAACGCATTTATCTGCTGATACTCATTGTGACCCCCTATGTGTTCATCAGCACTGCTATAGGTTAACAACAATGACTATTCAAATGTTCAGTTGTCTTTGCCGAGACTTTTCATTTTAAAGTGTATTTCTTTGAAGGCTTGTTTGGAGCACTTCCTTTTGCTACGGGCTACTCTTGTCATTGCAGATACTGCCTGTACCCACTTAAACCCTAATTTGAAAGGAGGTTGGCAAAAGATAATAAAATGGAGCATCTGAAAACATTTGCAATCTTATTTAAAAACACACAACAAATAGTGCCTATTTATTAATTTTTAAAAAGATGAAGGGAAGCCTGGCCAGTGTGGCTCAGTGGTTGAGCGTCAACCCATGCACAGAGATGTCGCCGGTTTGATTCCCAGTCAGGGCACATGTCCAGGTTGTGGGCCAAATCCCCAGTGGGAAGCATGCAGGAGGCAGCCAATCGATGTTCTCTCTCATCAATGTTTCTTTCTTTTTTTTTTTTTTTTATCCTCACCTGAGGACATTTTTCCATTTTTTGTTCAGATAGAGCGGGAGGGAGAGAGAGGAAGAGAGAGAGAGAGAAACATCGATGTGAAGGGACACATCGAGTGGCTGCCACCCGCACGACCAACCAGGGTCGGGGACAAACTGGAACCGAGGTACATGCCCTTAGCGGGAACCGAACCTGGGTCTCTCTGTACCGCAGGCCGACGTTCTCACCGCTGAGCCAAACCAGCCAGGGCTCTCATCAATGTTTCTATCTCTCTCTCCCTCTCCCTTCCTCTCTCTCTAAAATCAATAAAGAAAAAAAATTTATTTTAATTAAAAAAAAAAGATGAAGGGAAAAACAAAAAAGAGAAAACATAGTACACTCCATAAAATTTTTTGGTATATGCTCCCAGATTTTTAAAAAATGTTTTCATTGAATTTTTTAGAGAGAGAGAGGGAGAGAGAAATAGAAACATCGTTGTGAGAGAGCTACATCAATCGGCTGCCTCCTGCATGCCCACTACTAGGGATTGAGCCCACAACCCAGGCATGTGCCCTGACCAGGAATCAAACTGGAACCTCTTTGTCCATGGGGTGACAAATGTCGCTGAGCCACATTAGCCTGAGAAAGAAACCAAAATATCAGTTATTAGTGAAAAGAAAAGGATACAATTGAATTTTTTAAAAAATCCTCACCCGAGGATATTTTTCCATTCATTTTCAGATAGAGTGTGAGGGAAAGAGAGAGAGAAACATCGATGTGAGACAGACATCATCATAAATGTTGACCATGGAGCATTAAACAAATAGTAACATGTGTGGGGCCCGATTATATAAGTAGCCAGTTCATTAGTAAATATGGTAATATTACGATGACTTTTGCTCCTATGCAACCATATCACCATGAAGACTTTATAATAAACACTTGGATGATAAATTAGAGCAAAGGGGACCGAGGACATAATGCAGCGGGTGAAAGGAGAAAAGCCCAAAGGAAGGAGTGGAAGCACAAGTCAAGAGTACACGAAACCCAAGTAAAAGCTGGGGACCTACACGGTTCAGTTCTTTGTGAAACCAGTCACAGCCCAGACCAGTGACCAGATGCCATTAATACAGAAATTTCAATATTTTCTCGAGTCTCTTAGGTAACATTAAAGATCCAATTCATACCCCATAGTAACATTTCTAAAAAATAAAAACCTATTTCCTTTCCCCCCAACAGTATCATAGCATGTAGCTGCTATGGGGCCCCTAAACTGACAAACTCCCCAATTCCCTCTGGAGCCCCACGTTCTGCTTTCTTCTGTATTCTTCCTGTTAGGTGGGCTCAACTCTCCTTGATGGAGCCAAAGGACAAGATCAAATAAGTGGCCACAACTGTGTGCTAACAGGACAAGGACAATTCACAAGAGCGGCCTTATCAGGAGAAAGCGCTCTCTGCCCGAGGGTTCCCTTCGGGTAAGATATAAGATATGCAGAAATATCTCTGACTAAAACAGATGAAGCAATGTGGATTCATGGTCATCTGGTTTACTGTAAATGACTCCAATCCTATAAAACAGGTTTATAATCCCAGGAATTTCTCCGGGTTGTAGAAGCAGTACATCACCTATTAACCATAACCCAAGTCTACCTACTTATGATCTCATACTTTTTTAATGCCTTCCAAACCCCTCCTCAGACAGTCCACAAGGTGGAGCTAGGCTGACTGGGTTGCTCCACCTCACTTCATGCTGATAGCTTTCCCCACCGTTCTGAACAGGAGGAGAGCTCACAATCAAGGGAACTGGGAGTGCAGCGTGTGCAGTTACAGCTCAGCTGGGCCCTGGGGAATAACTGGCTCACTTCATTCTTCCAGTTGAGGAATGTAAACACACTGCTCTCCTTTCTGTTGCTGGTTGTTTCTCCAAAAGCCTCCCCTTAATGTCACTTCTTTAATACATTCTATTTCTACTAACTAAACAGTAGATTCCTCTTCCAACAAAACAGATTTCCTGATAATTATTATCTAGCAGAGTTGATTTTCAAATAATGAGAACATTTTTTTCTTGCTTTCTATTTCTTGAAAACAGCATTCTCCAACTGCAGAGCACTCCTTTTAAGAAGTTCTAATGAACCCTGGCCAGTTTGACTCAGTGGTTGGAGTGTCAGCCCTCAGACCAGAGTCGTGGGTTTGATTCCAGTCAAGGGCACTTACCTCCGTTGCAGTTTGCCCCCAGCCCTGGTCCAGGTCATGTGGGAGGCAACTGTGTCTCTCATGTGTCGATGTTTCTCTCTCTCTCTCCCTCCCACTCTATCTGAAAGTCAATGGAAGAATATCCTCTGGTGAGGATTAAAAATAAATAAATAAATAAATAAATAAATAAATAAATAAATAAATAAAGTTCTAATGAGCTCTGGTACCTATGTGAGCAATGAGCATCAGATGACTTTTGGTGATAAGAGAGGAGACCTATGTGTGCAATGAGTATCAGATGGTTTTTGGTGATGAGAGAGAAGACCAGTTGGCAGCTTCCTTACTTCCCTAAGTCCCTCCCTATTACTAACTTGGGATCCTGACACTATTTATTTATTTATTTATTTGGCATGTGCCCCTAGCAGGAACCAAAGGTGGGACTCCCTTTTCTTTGGTTCGTGCCCCTAGTGGGAACCGAACCCGGGACTCTCTGGTCTGCAGGCCGATGCTCCAACCGCTGAGCCAAACCAGCCAGGGCAGATCCTGACACAATTAATTCAAAATTTACTTCCCTTTCCTTGGGAAGGTTCGCATTACACTTCTTGGCTCACTGCTCTTTAACATTACCTTTCCTTTCTGTCTTAAATGTTAGTATTACCACCTGCTCCACACCCTCCCCAGCACTTATTGTCCACATTTTTGTTATAGCTATTTTAGTGAGTATGAAGTTGATCCATTCTTTCCATAAATACCCTATCAAGTTGAGAGAATTCTCTTCTCTTCCTGGTTTTCTGAATGTTCTTATCATGAAAGGCTGGATTTTGTCAAATGGTTTTTCTGCACTGAGATGGTTTTGTCCCCCCCGCTCTTTGTTCTACTTTTTTTTTTTTAAGTTTGATTTTAGCATGTTTTCCCCTTTATTTTTATTTTATTTTTCAGATAGAGTGGGAGGTGGAGAGAGAGACAGAGAAATCATCGGTGTGAGAGAGACACATTGATTGGTTGCTTCCCGCACGACCCCGACCAGGGCCAGGGACCAAACCACAACCCAGGTACATGCCCTTGACAGAATCGAACCCACGACTCTTTGGTCCACAGGCCAATGCTCTAACCACTGAGCAAACCAGCCAGGGCAGGTTCTACTTCTTTTCTTTTCTTTTTTGTTGTTAATCCTTACCCAAGGGTATTTTTACATTGATTTTTAGACAGAGTGGGAGGGATGGGGAGAGAGAAACATCAATGTGAGAGAGACACATAAGTTGCCTCCTGTACAACCGAACCAGGGCCAGGGATCAAATCTGTAACCCAGGTTTGTGCCCTTGACTGGGAATCGAACCCACGACCCTTTGGTCTGTGGCCAAGGCTCTAAATGCTGAGCCAAACCAGCCAGGGCAGGTTCTACTTATTTTCTTATGGTGAACCACCATTGTACTCCTGGGACAGATCCCCTTTGGTCATGGCACATAATCCTTTTAGTATGCTGTTGGATTTGGTTTGCCGGTATTTTGTTGAAATTTTTTGCATTCATATTCTAGAGAGGAATATTGATCTACAGTTTTCTTGGGATATCTTTGGCTTCAGCATCAGGACAGTACTGACTTTATAAAATAGAGTTGGTAAACATTTCATTCCCCTCCTCCTGTTTTCAGTTTATAAGGAATTAGTATTATTTCATCTTTAACTGTTTGATACAGTTCAAACAAACCCTGTCAAGCCATCTGGGCCAGGGATTCTTTACAAGAAGACTTTAAATTACTAATTCAATTTCTTTGTTATCATCTATTCAGACTTATCATTTCTTCCTTAGTTTTCGTAATCTGTGTCTTTCTAGTAATTGTTCTTTGTTGGCATAAAGTTGTTACTAGCATTATCTTATAATTCTGTTGATTTCTGTAAAGTTTATTTTTATTGAAAAAAATTTTTTTTGAGAGAGGGTGGAGAAACATTGATTGGCTGCCTTCTGTGCGCCCCCTACTGGAGATCGAGCCTGCAACCTGGGTATGTTCCCTGACCTGGCAACCAACCAGGACCTCTCAGTCTATGGGATGATGCTCAATCTACTAAGCCACACTGGCCAGGCATAGAGTTTATGTTTATGTTCTCTTTTATTGCTGATTTTGATCATTTGTGTCTCCTCTCCTTCTTTTCTTCTTTGGGCTATTTTGTCAATTTTGTTGATCTTTCCAAAGAACCAACCTTTTTTTCTACTATTTTTCTGATTTCTATTTCACCTGTTTCATTGTTATCTTTATCATTTCCTTCTTGCTTTGAATTTATTTTTTCTGATTTTTCTAATTTATTAAGGTGGAAGCTTGGGTAATTGGTTTCTTCCTTCCTTTCTTTTTTTTGACTGTCCTAAATTGTTTACTAGGTAAGAATTCTATACATATTACCTATATTAGCAGTAACGGTGGAGCTGGAGAGTACTGTGCCTTCTCCAAGCTGCATGGCAAGAACCACCAATAGTGGTGGCGCTAGTGGTCCTTTCCAAGGCCACAGCTCTCACAGTCCCTGTGCTTTGGACTGATTTGGTGATCCACTGGGTGTGAGGATTCCTTCTGACAGCCTTATGGAATGGATCAATGAGGATAACTTCAAAGAATTTGTATGTGGAATCTACACCAACCCAGTAAGAATCAGGACTTTCAGAGTCCCACAGTGGAGTCCAGCTCACTCCTCAGCGAAGACTCCGGGCACACTTTAGCTGGTTAACACCATGACGGACAGGCTTGCCATAGGTCACACCCTTAGGAACAGAGTGCTTATGGCTATCACAGGACACACAAATCTGATATATGACATAACCTTGCTTGGCCTTCTGTTCCAGTCTGCTGCGCTTTATCAGGCCCTGTGGGTGGGGGTGGGAGAGGCCTGAGGAGCGCAGAGTGGACAGTACTGCCAGCAGCACTCTGAGAAGGAAGCACATTGCAATGGACTGCGTCTTCCTCCATAGTTCCTGGATGTACTTGCAAGCGCCCATCTTGCCTTACCTGATGGCTGTGGGCAGAGGAAAGGAAGAGACTTTCTCCCACAATCCCTCTTGGGCTCCTCCTCTTCCTTTCAAATATGTGCATTTAAAGCCATAACTTTACTTTGCAATGTTTTCATTGCATCCCATAAATTTTGATATGTTGTTTTCACTCCAAAATATTTTTTAAGCTCTCCTTGATATATATTTAACCCATGGGTTACTTGGAAATGCATTGCTCAATTCCCAAATTATCTATGGATTTCCCAAATGTCATTCTGTTGTTGATTTCTACATTATTTTTGGTCAGAGAATATATTCTGTATCATTTCAATCCTTTTAAATAATAAGTATGAAGACTTGCTTTACAACCGAGTATATGGTGGATCTACCATGTGCCCTTAAAAAAATGTGTATTTTGTTGCTGTTGGTAGGTACAGTATTCTGCACATTTTTATAAAAGACGTGGATTCTGCCTGGCAGGTGTGGCTCAGTGGTCGAGCGTCAGATCCATGCACCAAGAGGTCGCTGGTTCGATTCCCTGTCGGGCACATGACCAGGTTGTGGGCCTGATCCCCAGTGGGGGACATGCAGGAAGTGGCCAATCAGTGTTCTCTTTTATCGATGTTTCTATCTCTCTCTCCCTCTCCCTTCCTCTCTCTCGAGTTAATAAAGAAAAAAAAAAAGACATGGATTCTACCCCTAGGAAGCTTGCATTTAAAAAAAAATTTTTTTTTTCTTTATTGATTCTGAGAGAGAGGAAGAAAGAGGGAGACAGAGACAGAAACATCGATGAGCGAGAACATCAACTGGCCGCCTCCTGCATGCCCCTCACTGGGGATTTGGCCCACAACCTGGGCATGTGCCCTGACTGGGAATCGAACCGGCAACCTCTTGGTGCATGGGTCAACGCTCAACCATTGAGCCACACCAGCCTGGCGGAAGCCTGCATCTTAATTCAGGAAACCACACAGTAAATGACAGTCTTATGCACATAGTATAAAGTACTCACCAAAATACATATGGGAGGTGGAGAAAACAAGAACTAGTTACCCTAAGATTCAACATCTGAATTTCAGGAAGAGGAATATTAAGGGAGAAGCTATAAAATGGACTTAGAACTACTGAGAAAATGTACTTTCATTTTAAAAAAAGATTAAGATTTTAAAGCCGATTGGTCATGAATGTCAGGACTCCCCTTCACATTGGTTTGGAAAAGACAACTGATCATTGATTTATGGATTTTAAAAAATCATATTATAGAAAATCTTTATAACCTTGTCATGATTAATTACTCACTGTTCAGTGTAATGACAATACCTGAATCTAATTGATAGACAACTGTGCCTTTTTCCTCTCCTACAATTTCTGGTACCTTTTCATTTCCTGTAGGTTGATAAAAATATTCTGGCTGAGGTGGAACTCCCTCTGAAAGAAGACATTTAAAAAGTACAAAATAAGAATATAAAAAGCACTTTACAGAACCTAAGTTTCTAGTTTGTTTATACGTTGTCTTGGCTCTTTCCATAAGACTATGAGGAGACTTTTAACAAAAAACATAAACTTTACTTAGAAGGCTTAAAAGTAAGCCAGAAAGGTCAATATATTTGCTGCAACAACTCTGCAAAATCTGGTCCTGAGCTTCCTTTTAAAATCAGGGAAATATGGTCAGCTACAACTGTTTATTACAGAGGAACAAGCATATCAGTTGTTTCAGAGGAAACAAGGCTTGATCATCAACACCGAATTCTAAAAGATTTCTCATATGGAACTCGGGCACCTTCTCAATGTCATTTTAAGTACATGGCCAATGATGAGAGCCACGGCACAGACTCAGTGAAAGATGACGCTACCTTCTTTTCTTTGAGGTAATGGGGAGTGACGAGGCTTTGACAGTTCAGTTCAAACAGTAAGGTGCTTGTTATAAAATTTCCTCAAAGTTTTTAAAAAAGATTTAATGGTTTAGTGGATTACAGTTTCCCACTTTATATTTTCCTTTTGAAACTGAGTCCAAAATCTTCACAGGAATTCTCTATCTCAGTCTATTTTATATAGAGAACTACAAAATCCTATTGTCTGGCCAGATCAACTTGGACTTTTATCTAAAACTTGTTCAGGATAGGGACAGATGACCTTAGGACTTCTCAATTATTGTGTCAACTCAGAGTGTTGCCCCTCCACACAGTTCCAAATACCCAAAAAGCAGTTCTGTCCCCGGTGAAGACACTAAAGCCCACCCCTGTATTTCAGCTTCATCTCGTCTTTCCTGCCAAGGCTCCATGGCTGCCCAAACAGGACACGTTCTCTCTGTTTCCTCTAACTGGAATACTTTTCTTTGCCCCTCTCAACTGGATCACTTCTAACTCCTTCAGATCTCAGCTGACGTTGCGGCTCCTTTTGGAAACACACACGCATCTTCCAGGCTGGGGTTAAGCATTCCCAAAGGGACCAAGCTCTATGCAATTGCCTGGTTATATCTGTAACTTCCCCACTAGTCTGTGAACTATGGGTGTCTCCATCTTGTTCATCTCTGTATCTCTAACAGTAAGCACTGTACTTAGCATATGGTAAATGCTTAATAAATATTTATTGAATGAGTAATATATGAGGGAAGCGAGAAAAATAAGAAACATCCAGTTGTTTATCCAGCAGTCAAAAGCAGAGACATGTCTGGTAACATAAGTGTCTCAGCAATGAGAAAAGTCCCCATTTTTCAATGCAATCCACTTCTGAAAATTCTTCATAAAATGAGTGCTGAAGATTATATTTGCATCAATAGCTCCAGCAATGTCATAAAAATGTCTTTACTATTCCCATAAAAATACCAATTAACTCAAAGTATAATTAAAACTAGTAAAATCCATGCTCTCATATATATGGTGTGCATCAACTATACCAAGGCTGGTAAAAATACAACTTTTATAAATCTCAACTAATTCACATGAGATGGGAATAATCTAGAAAACAGATTTAAGTATGAGTATATTTTGGCCTCTAGTGAGGTATCCTCCATTCCAATAAACTCAGAAACATTCTAGTTTACACATTGGTGGAACTTTTGACTTTGGTGAGTATATTTCAGTTTCCCAGAGCTTAATCATTTCCGGGTGAGATAACAGATGCTGAGCCTGTCCTGCCTCAGACTGCAGGGTACAGGACTTAAAACTATGAGGTTTCGTAATCAAGTGTCAGAACAGCAAGACCACGGCACGTAAGTCGCATTACCAATATGATGAATGTTTTCCTTGATGACCTCACATTCTATTGGCCATCTTGGAGCCTGCAGTAGCCCGCTGCCAGAGCAAAAAGCAAAGAGATCTCGGGGTTCTCGAAGACGTGGGTTTACTTTGCCAAACTCATCATGAAGAAGCTGTCTGCTCTTGAGAAGCAGTGAACTCAGCATAAAGGAATCTGCCAAAGGGGCAAGAAAATCAGTGAACAGCTTCTTTTTCTGCCTTGGTAACCTGACTGCTCAACTATAACAACTAAGTGGCTATAAGCCCTGAATTAAAATACAGGCAAGATACCCTGGCCAGTTTGGCCCAGCGGTTAGAACATCGGCCTGCGGACCAGAGAGTCCCGGGTTCGATTCTGGCCAAGGGCACATACCTCGGTTGTGGTTTGACCCTGACCCCAGTTGGGGTCGTGAGGGTGGCAACCAATCGATGTGTCTCTCTCACATCGATGTTTCTCTATCTCCCTCCCACTCTGTCTGAAGATAAATGTAAAAATATCCTTGGGTGAGAATTAAAAATAAAATATAAATAAAATATGGGCAAGATGTACAATCCTATGACATATTTCTCCTTCAAGGAAATTTAGTCCAGGATGACAACATTGAAATGATAAAAATCAAATTAAAATTCTACACAGTCAGTAAAGCTTTAAGAGTAAGTCAGAAGAAACTTTTTTTTAAACCAGAGCTAATGGGTCTAAGACATTTTAACAGTGGGCTGCAAATGAACAAAAAGTTACTTAATGTGTTTTATTACTTTTGTTTAGAGTCAAGCAAGAGAGGGAACTTTCTTTTTTTTTTAATCCTTATCCAAGGACATTTTTCTGTTTATCTTCAGATAGAGTAGGAGGGAGGGAGGAAGAAACATCAATGCTTCCCAATGGTTGCCTCCCACATGACCCCAACCAGGGCCGGGGATGAACCACAACCGAGGTACATGCCCTTGGCTGGAATCGAACCCGCGACTCATTGCTCTGCAGGTCAACACTCTAACCGCTGAGCCAAACTGGCCAGGACAAGAGAGGGAACTTTCAATTCACCCATTAGCATTTTAGAAAAATGTACATACAACTTTATTAAAAACATTCTGCAAATTAAATTTTAAGTTCATAATATAACCATTCAAAGGGCAGAGAGACTTTTAAAACAGAATAATAAGGGAAGTGGGAGAGGAGTGTGAATGGTCAGAAGAAAGAGAAGCACTCTTGGGAGATAGAGAATGAGAAAAAAGGAGGAAGAGAAAGGCTTTCAGGGAGAAAGGAAATGAAAGGAAGAATGAAAAGATAGAAAATGACAGGAGGAAGGAAAGGCTGAAGGCCCCTCAGTGTGTTCATTCTCAGCTCTGGTGGGGAGAGAAGGGGGCGAAGACATGTTCCCACTAAGGAGTCTGAGTTTTCTGATCTGGAGGGAAATGAAATACCTCTGCTCACAGCTTCTGTCGCTCTGTGCACAGCTGAAGATACACAGGCAGGCCCTAGAAAGAGGAAGGGGGAGGCATGGTTTGTCTCAAGGATCTTTTGTCTTTTTTTCTCCCCCCTTTCCCTATCACTTTCCACCCCCTGCCCCGACCCTCACTTTGGGGCCCAGTATTTCTATCTCTAAATCTTTTTCCCCACTGTTTAATGGGAGTTGGCAAGAAACATTAAAAAATATGATAAAGCTGTTCAATCTCACTCGTAAAGAAAGGTAAATCAAAATGATAAGAAGATGCCAGTTTTTTACCTAATAGGAAAAATGTTTACATGTTTGCACACTCATCCTGGCATAAGTGTAAGTGAACTGGTAGCAGAGTTTTTGAGTGATGTCAGACACTGCCAGCAAGAAGGCAAATTGGTGCAACCGTTCTGGAAAGCAGTTTGGCAGTATCTAGCATGATTTAAATTCATATACTCTTGATCCAGGAATCCCACCGGCTAAGAATTTACCTTATAAACTTTCTCACAAAAGTTCATCAAGATGCATATACAGTCCGGCCAGTGTGGCTCAGTGAATTGAGCATCATCCCATGTGTCTTGGTTCAATTCCTGGTCAGGGCACATGCCAAGGTTGCAGGCTCGATCCCCAGTAGGGGGCGTGCAGGAGGCAGCCAGTGGATGTTTCTCTCTCATGTTGATGCTTTTCTCTCTCTCTCCCTAAAAAATTAATAAAAGCGTATAATTTTTTTAAAAAAGATACATTTACAAAGATGCTCATTGCAGCAATGTTCAAATAACAAAAATGTGCAAACCAAAGCATCTATGGATATCTGTAATACTCTCCAGCAAAGATTAAAAAAAAAAGGGAAGTTAAAATAATGACATATTAATGAGATGAAATTGTAGGTACCTTCAAAAAGAATGAAAAAATAAATAAAAATAAAAAGAATGAGGCAGCCTGGCTGGTGTGGCTCAGTGGTTGAGTAGTCAACCCATGCACCAAGAGGTCGCTAGTTCGATTCCCTGTCAGGGCACATGCCCAGGTTGTGGGCCCAATCCCCAGTAGGGGGCGTGCGGGAGGCAGCCGATCGATGTTCTCTCTCATCGATGTTTCTATCTCTCTCTCCCTCTCCCTTCCATTTTTCTCTAAAATCAATAAAGAAAAAAAAAGTAAAAAAAAAAAAAAAAAAGAATGAGGCAGATTTTTTTGTGCTCATGTAAAAAGGTTCTATTACAAAACAAGAAAATTTAAGTAAAGACTGTGTATAGCCCTGGTCAGTTTGGCTCAGCGGTTAGAGCGTCGGCCTGCGGTCTGGAGAGACCCAGGTTCGGTTCCCACTAAGGGCACATACCTCGGTTGTAGTTTGTCCCCGACCCTGGTTGGGTCGTGTGGGTAGCAACCACCCGATGTTTCTCTTTCTCTCTCTCTCTCCCTCCCACTCTATCTGAAAAAAATATCAAAAAATGTCCTCGGGTGAGGATAAAAAAAAAAAAAAAGACTGTGTATAGGATCCCCCGTAAGTAATTAAAAAGAAAAAATATACAGACACATGAGGATTTTTTTTTTCCTGAAAAGAATGATAACAACAGTGGCTATATTGGGGGTTGTTGAGTAGGGAGGGCTTTCAGTTTTCTTTTTGTGCTTTTTTCTACCATTTGAATGTAACTTTCCTTTTTATTTCTGTATTCGTCTGATTAAAACACACACACAGCCTGGCCAGTGTGGCTCAGTGGTTGAGCATCTACCCATGCACCAAGAGGTAGCTGGTTCAATTCCCGGTCAGGACACATGCCCAGGTTGTGGGTCAAATCCCCAGTGAGGGGCATGCAGAAGGCAGCCAACATTCTCAACTATTAAGTTTAAGCTCTTTATTAACTTTATGAGTTCTTGCTCTTCAATGTTTCTATCTCTCTCTCCTTCTCCCTTCCTCTCGCTCTAAAATCAATAAAGAAAAACATACACACATACACACACACACAGATGTAATAAAGCTGTGCTATAAAGAAAGAAGAAAAACATATCTTCCTCACTCCAATAATGAAAGCAAAGGGGGAAAAAGGTATTAGGTTATCAGTTACACAATAAAACTCATTCACTTTGTTGTGTTACTTCTATCAGCTGATTTTGACAGTTTTTTTTATTATATTAAGCTGGCAATTGTTTCTTATTAATGTCATTTTGAGTGTCATAGGGCAGGAGAAAACTGAAGGGAGCCTTGGCTGGTTTAGCTCAGTGGTTAGGGCATCGGCCCTTGGATCAGAGAGTCCGAGGTTTGGTTCCCGCTACGGGCACGTACCTCAGTTGCAGTTTGTCCCCAGCCTTGGTTGGGGTCGTGTGGGTGGCAGCCAGTTGATGTTTCTCTCTCACATCAATGTTTCTCTCTCTCTCTCTCTCTCTCTCTCCCCCTCTTTTCCCTCCCACTCTAGCTGAAGATAAATGCAAAAATGTCCTCGGGTGAGGATAAACAAAATAAAAAGAAAACGAAGGGAGGTGGTCAGCTGGGGCCTGTGCCATCCCAACATGACCAGTTCCCTTTGCTCAAACCTTGCCTTTCCACTCCCTTCCAGGGGCTCTGAGACACCGAATGGATCTAGAGAGAACATTTTTCTTTTTTTATCCTCACCCAAGGGCATTTTTCCATTTTTTGTTCAGATAGAGTGGGAGGGAGAGACATCGGTGTGAAAAGGACACATCGAGTGGCTGCCACCCGCATGACTCAACCAGGGCCAGGGACAAACTGCAACCAAGGTATGTGCCCTTAGCGGGAACCGAACCCAGCTCTCTCTGGACCGCAGGCCGATGCTCTAACCATTGAGCTAAACCGGCCAGGGCTGGAGAGAACATTTTTGAGTGATGTCAGAAACAGTGGCCAACGCTGCTTCTCTGGCTTCTCCCATGTTAGGCCATGTTCTCCTGAATACCTACAGCAGTTGCTCAAGGCAATGAGGTTCTGGGGGTCATATGTTATTACTGTACGTGATTATTACTCACATTGAAGCTTCTTCTTTTGCAGGGGGTCTGGTATCAAATCATCTCTTTCCCCAAAGGAGCCACTCAAGACAAATCGGGGATTATTCTTCCAAACATGCTGGTGCATAGCAGAGTTTGGTAAACTGTCTCTTTGAGCTAAGAAAACGCAGTTTAATTAAAGGTGCTGGAAGGCTAGTTCACCACCTCTAACATCTAGGTCCATACCAGAACCACTACTACCAAATCCCCACTAGCACAGGCCTTTACAAGGAATACATCTCATTTTCCAAAGAGCTTTCGTATTCCAATTTACTTGAGTTAAACATCATATTCTCCATTTTACAGTGAGAAGACTTAAAAGGCAGCATGGTATAGTGAAAACAGAAAGTGCTTAAGGAGGCAGAAAGACCTGGTAGCTATAAGAGCAGCCAAGAGAGCCACAGCCAAGTGAAGGCTGGTACTCAGAGACAGTGGAGCCCTGATGTGCAAAGCTGCTTTGTCCTGAGGGCTCTTGCTGAATCTGGCAAACTGGAAATCCAGTTTTCAACAACTTAGTTATCACTTGAAAAATGAAATGGTTAATAAGAAAGTTTAACGAGGTTGCTAGAAATAAAATCAATATAAAAACTTAATTTTATTTCTAAATACCAGGAACAAAGTTAGAAAACCAAAATTTAAAAAGAAACCATTATAATAGCATTAAAAAATGAAGTTCTGCCAGGTTGGTGTGGCTCAGTGGTTGAGCGTCGACCTGTGCACCAAGAGGTCGCTGGTTTGATTCCCAGTCAGGGCACATGCCCAGGTTGTGGGCCTGACCCCCAGTGGGGGGCATGCAGGAGATGGCTGATCGATGTTCCCTCTCATCGATATTTCTCTCTCTCTTTCACTCTCACTTCCTCTCTCTCTAAAAAATAAATAAATAGAGAATTAGACTACATTCATAGATTGGAGAGCCCAGTATGGGCTAATTCTGTTTTGTGAAATTACATTCTATAGATTCAGTGCAATCCTAATAATTTTTTTTAAACATCACAAGCCAATTCTATAATTATATAAAAAGGCAAGAATAGCCAAGACACTTTTGAAGAACAAGATCGGAGGACATGTCTTTCCAGATATCCAGACTGTAATAACAAAAATACCTCACGCCAAAATCCAACATTTTGAAATTGTAAGGCAAAAAAAAAAAAAAAAAAGACCGTTTTAATGTCATGTAGTATAATTAACAAAAGGTGGTATTAGTGTAAAGCTAGACAAACAGATAATGGGAAAGGAATCCTTTTCACTAACAGTGCTAAAAAAATTAGTCATTAGTTTATCCAAATAAATAATTTGCTTCATGAACCCAGCAAAGGTGATGCTCATTAAGAACACGATTACCTTTAAAGTAGCCATAGTACTGGAGGTGATGGTACATAAAGGCTTCATAGGGGTCAGGAAAAGTCTGTGAAAGGAAAGGCCATCCCAATCAGGAAAGTCTTTTCAAATAGTGGTGAACTCTTATCTTAGCAAAAGGCAGCAAGTACTGTTGCAGAGGGCAGAATACCTGAGGACTTCTGTAACCAAACCAAGTGAAAGACAGTCACGCCAAGCATTCTGTCTTGGGGATCAAGTTCTCCAGCTAGAAAAAGGTGCCGCCAGAATATACCTTCTGACCTAGTACTGGGTTTCTGTGGAGTTCCTGGAGAAGGGTGTGTACCGACCTCCTGCTTGAGCTCTGTTTCCAGCGCAGGGAACATGTTACTGCTGTATGGCATACTGAAGACCAGCCGGTCACAGAGGCATCCGGCCACAACCCTTGCCCGATTTCCAAAAGGGCAGCGGATTACACAGAACCTAAAACACCAGAGCAGGACAATTGAAAAACATGCTGATAGTCACCACTCCCACCCTTTGCTTCCGCAGCTCCTACGCAATTGAGGAAACCCTTGCCACACCGCTGCCTCTTTTTCTGCCAAGTCGGCCTCTGCCCAGACAAACAAGGACCCGGCTGGTGTCCCACTATGAGGCCCGGAGGCGCACCTGAGGAAGTAGGGAGGGCGACAAGTCTTCCAGCCTCCTCCCGAGGCACAGGTACCCTAGCAGGCCCCATGCTTCCCTCTCCCCAGCAGGAAGATGTCCACTACCAGGACGCCGCGAGAAAGGGAGAAAACGAGAATGAGTTGACTCAGGGTAGATGGAAAAGAAAGGTCAGAGGCCCGAAAAGTGGGCTCTGAACACGAAATTCAGGGGTTCCGGGCTTCCAGGTCCGGGGGAAGAGCAGTTTCCCGAGCGCGGTGAAGGGGGAAGATTTCCTAGAAGGGCAGAGGGAAGGGTGCAACCGCCTGCGCGCTCCCGCCCGTCCCGGGCTCCAGGGAGGGCGCGGCGCCAGCGGCGGCAGAAAAGCCTGGGCGAGGCGGGGGGTCGCGGCGCAGCAGGTAGAGGCCCAGCAGCGCACCCGGCGGACTAGCGAATCGCGCCGACCCGCCAACGCTTTCTGCGAGGGCCCGGGTAACCTAGCAACTACGGAACGGAAGCGGGAGGGCGGGGCGGCCGGGCGCTTCCGGGCAGGGAGGCCTCGGTCTCACACGGAAAGATTGCTGCGCCCTGCTTCTGGGAATCAATCGCAATTGGGTTGATGAATCCAGATCCCAAGATTCTTTGCTGTTCCTTAGCTTTAGGTAACAAGTGTTTCTGCAAGGGTGCTATTCTCGTTTCACCTTATGTTCTTTCCACCTGATCGCTAGAACTGAAAAATCACATTCTACAGTGGAAAAGTTGCAAGAAGCAAAGTTAAATTAAAGCCACATATTTTGACTGTCAGATTTAAAAATATGCTCCCTTTTGGTAGGATAGTGATAAAGGCACTGGTGCTCTGTGGAAATTCCGACAGGTCTGGAATACTGGTAATTAAAGCAAAAGTTTTAACAGCTAGTTGGTATCTTTGTTTCCACAAATTTGTTCTATTCAATTACAAGAAAAACAATTTATATACAAAAAGGTCGCCTTAATACTTGCATAATGGTAACACCCAAGACACTAGTATACATAACAGATTAAATTAGGTAACATTTTTTTTCTTTATTGACTTTAGGGAGAGGAGATAAACATTGATGTGAGAAACACCCATTTGCTGCCTCCGGCACAAACTGGGAACTTCTTGGTGCATGGGTGGACGCTCAACTACTGAGCCACACCGGCTGGGCAAATTAGGTAAAATTTTAAATTACATGCACATAAATATACCAAAATAAAACTCAAACTACTGTTGTCTTTATATGGCTATATCACTGTTATTTTTGTAATCGGGGGGAGGGGAGGAAGCCCCCCCCCCCCCAAATGTTAACCACTGTATTATTTCCAGGATTTCAGGTCAAAAACATCTATTATTAAGAGTGCAAGTTCCAAAATTGAAGACATACAGCATCTTCTGGTACTAGAAGCATTTTTCTAACTTGCTCCTCCTAGCAGTCCCCTCATCGCCCCCCCACCCCCAACCCACTCAAAATCCTGCTAGTCTTCTTTCCCTTCCCCTCTCTAAAGAATTAAAAAAAAAAAAATCAACAAACATATCCTCAGGTGAGGATTAAAAAAAAAAAAAAATTAAAGTCAGGCCAGTTTGGCTCAGTGATCAGAGCTTTGGCCCCAGGACAGAAAGGTCTTGGGTTTGATTCTTGGTCAAGGGCATGTACCTAGGTTGCAGATTTGATCTTGGCACTGGTCAGGTCATATGGGAGGCAACCAATCCATGTCTCTCTCTCACATTGATTTCTCTTTCTCTCTCTCACTCCCACTCTACCTAAAAAAATCAATTGGAAAAATATCCTCGGGTAAAAAAAAAATCCTGCTGCTCTTTTTGAGAGCTGTTCTTTAATGTTTGCACATACCTTATACCGTATTTAATTAGAAAAAAAACAATTAAGATTGACTTAAAATCTTGTTTACATAATCACGGAGTAACAGGTTTAGAAGAGCAAAAAGATAGACAATCAGAAATATAAAAAAAGCTTTATTAGTGCATATATACAAATTTACAAGGTCAGAAACTGGAGAAATACAAACAGTTTTAAAACACAATTTGCTTTTTCTTCAGTTTAAAGTGACTTTTACCTGATTGTGATACAATAAAAAATACAGAACAGTAAACGTTTTAAATACTGGAATTTTATGGAAAATACCTTGACACATAAAAGGGAGGTGAATTTTGGAATAAGGTAAGACAACGGAGACACATCAACACATACAGTGGCTCTTGTTACATGTCCTGCCACAGATGTAAGGGGAAATTCTCAAAATCAAAGACATGAACACGTGCTGCTGCCTGTACTGAAATTTAAATATTTCATCTAGTGTATGAAATGATAGCTATCAATTCTAGAATGTGTGAGAGAGATTATTTTTGAAAAAGTGTGGCCACCTGTCAGCACAAGTAAACAACTGGATACACCCTAGCAATCCAGGGGAGGCAGACTAGAGGAAGAGGTCAGAAAGAGATTCTGATAATCCCAGTTAAGCAAAGGTAGAATACAGAGCTGCCTTTCTAATTGCACTTGTTCTGGAGTAGAAGTTAATGAGAGAGAACCACACCAGGATACTTAATGAACCTCTATAAGGCAGGAAAATCCTTTACTTTCTGTCAGTGTCCTCTAGAGAGGTGTCATACTCATGAGCCACATGTTCCAGACTGATGAGGTTAATGTACCTAACATGCTGAGTTTGCCAGTTTGAAAAGGCAGCCAAGTCGAAGCATTCAGTCGCCATACCCTTCAGCAAAACAGAAAAAAATTTCATTTTACAAATGTGAAAACTTTGTATGTGTATGTTCTTGCCCAGGAAATTCATATGCTCTCCCTCATAACATTTATAGTTTATTGACAACAGTGAAACAGGTTAAGACTCTGAATGGACACACACACACACACACACACACACACTCTAAAAAAAATATTTATGTGTTTGGAGCCATTTTCCTTCGCTTCAGTCTTGCTCGCCAATCCTCAGGAAGGGCTTCAAAATTAGCATTTCTCTCTGCCATGCCACTGTGAAAACAACATACAGATTACTTCCCCAGAAAGAAACAGAATGAAACTTCATTTCCTAGCAAATAAAAACTTCTAACTGAAACTGAAAATATGATCTCTCACATCTATGTTCATGAATATGCTTCAAGTTTCTCAGCTAAGTGCCACCAAATTCCTTATCAAATTTCTTCTGATGGGTCAACAGAAGACATACACACACTTCATATCGTTTTATTTATATGTAAGTGCACCTTTACTTTTATATACCTTCAGCAACCATTAAAGCCGCACTGAAGGAATAAAACACATTCTTATAGCCCTGGCTGGTTTGGCTCAGCGGTTAGAGCGTCCGCCTGCGGTCCGGAGAGACCTGGGTTCGGTTCCCGCTAAGGGCATGTACCTCGGTTGCAGTTTGTCCCTGGCCCTGGTTGGTCGTGCGGGTGGCAGCCACTCGATGTGTCCCTTTCACATCGATGTTTCCCTCTCTCTCTCTTCCTCTCTCTCCCTCCCACTCTGTCTGTACAAAAAATGGAAAAATGTCCTCGGATGAGGATTAAAACAAACAAACAAACAAACAAACAAACAAACAAAAACACATTCTTATAAAAGTTTCTTGGCTGCTAGGAGTTATAACTCACTCACTCACTCACTCACTCACTCACTCACTCACTCACTCACTCACTCATTCATTCATCTATCCTCATCCGAAGATATTTTTCCATTTTTTGTACAGATAGAGTGGGAGGGAGAGACAGGAAGAGAGAGAGAGAGAAACATCAATGTGAAAGGGACACATCGAGTGGCTGCCACCCGCACAACCCAACCAGGGCCCGGGGACAAAATGCGCATCCGAGGTACGTGCCCTTAGCAGAAACCGAACCTGGGTCTCTCTGGACTGCAGGCTGACACTCTAATGGCTGAGCCAAACCGGCCAGGGCAGAGTTATAATTCTTTAAGAAGACATATTTAATCTTCAGTATAGCATCAGGAACCTTTGGACCTAATGTTTTCGAGTTCTCTTTTGATCAATTCTAAATATTTGTAAAGACTGATATCTCATGGCTTATTCAGTCATCTAAAAAAAATAGATTAAAGCTTCTATTTTGCAATTATCAGAATGGGTGCACTGAACTCTTTTATAAATCTAAAATAATTTAAGATAAATTAAAGGATCATTGTGATTTCATCATTGCAGGAATTAATCATTATTCAATCCCCAGCAATACTATAAAAGACTAAAAAACAAAACCAAAACTGAATAATGGGATCACCTACGAGATAATGCAAAAGTGAAATAAATTGTCATCAATACCATCCCTCAGTTTTCTTATTATGTTTCCCAAAACAGTGCATCACCTGTCAAGGAAGTAAAAAATGAAGCCTGGAGACAACATCTGCATAGTCACTTTTCTTTTACAAATATAAAATGAATGCGAATAAACAGACAGTGGCACTGTAGATTCAACTTCATCACCCAGTATTTTTGTAACAAGAACCTGTCATTTTTCTTAATAAGACATGTGACAGGAATCCTTCCGGTTTTAGGATGATACGTGCTAAAATTTGGTAGTGTTCTCAAGTGGACAAATGCTGAAAATAGGTGTGTAGTGATTGAAGAGAATAAGATATTTTAGAGATAAAAAATTAACTGGAAAAGCCCTGCTGGTTTGGCTCAGCGGTTAGAGCATCGGCCTGCGGTCTGGAGAGACCCGGGTTCGGTTCCTGCTAGGGGCGCTATCTTAGTTGCAGTTTGTTCCCGGCCCTGGTTGGGTTGTGCGGGTGGCAGCTACTCAATGTGTCCCTTTCACGTTGATGTTTCTGTTTCTCTCTCTCTCTCTTCCTCTCTCTCCCTCCCGCTCTATCTGAACAAAAAATGGAAAAATGTCTTCAGGTGAGGATAAAAAATAAAATAATAAAATAAAATGTTCACTGTGAACGTGTCTTTGTGTAAAAAAAAAAAAATTAACTGGAATGACCATTCCAGTTGGGGTTTATGTTCTCTAAAAATGAAAATGTTTTGGATTATGAAGCAACGAATGGCTATCTTCTCCCAAATGTTTTCAAAAGTACTGTGTTTATGGATGTTGCAAATGCAAGAACCAGAAGTAATGATAACCTAGACCTATCAGAAATGAATTTGAAATTTGGCATCACTATTTATGAGATAAGTATGGTCCAGACTATTAGAATGTTGCTTATTTCAGTATGCATACTTTCAAAACCAGGAAAATAAAGAATAAAACTTTGGAGTCTGGCCAGTGTGGCTTAGTGGTTGACCCATGCACGAAGAGATCACTGGTTCGATTACTGGTCAAGGGCACATGCCCTGGGGTTGGGCTCGATCCCCACTAGGGGGCGGTACAGGTGGCAGCTGATTGATGTTTCTCCCTCTCTCCCTTCCTCTCTC